TTGATTTTGTCGAAAAGATTCACACATTCTCGAATTTTTTTCTCTAAAGTGGGTAGGATTTCGAGGGTGTACCTAATGACCAATAATGATTGCAATTGACCTCTGCAATCAAAAATAATTTTTATAGAACGATTTGACATTTTTTAATTTTGTCAAAAAATTTCACACCTTCTCGAATTTTTTTCTAGAAAGTGAGTAGGATTTCGGGGGTATGTCTGTTGACCAAAAATTATTGCAATTGACCCCTGCATCTAAAAATAATTTTTTTACAACGATTTGAAACGTTCCAATTTCGCCGAATTTCAGGGGAATCATCATTCATGATCAGACATTGTATTTTCGGTAAAGAATTTTTTCCTCGTAAATGCGTAGGATTTCGGGGGTATGTCTATTAACCAAAAATGATTGTAATTGACCCCCGCAAAGGAAAATAATTTTTCCGTGATGGATTTGATATTTTTTAATAACTTTTTAACGAAGTCTCGATCGAGAAATTGATATTCTTGATTTTCGTCTTATTTTGGCCTCTAGAATCTCCCATTAAAATCTTTCCCAGTGGTGACCGAACACCCTGTATATCTACTGATTTCTAATCCCATATAATTATTCTTTCACAGACGAAAAAATCCACACTGCCCTCTTAAATGCATCCCTTATGCTAGTCTTCGAAAGTCTCCTCAGGTCCCTGGACGCTCTGTCGAGACAACGAAGAAGGAAACGTTGCTCGACTCCACGACGAGATCTTTGTCCATTTGGACGACCTGTTTCGTCCCCAGAGTGATGAAACTGCGACTTCTGCACGAATGCTTTCCGGTTGCACGTGTCGCGACCAAACCATTGGGAATGCACGAGCGACTTTAATATTAATTATCCCGTGACGCTTCGGGCTGAATGCATCGTAAGAAATTCATGCTCTAGATGCATTTGGATGCTGCTTCGGCGAAACAAATTTAGACGTACCTATTTCCCGTTTCCATCAAAAGCAACCATTATACGTTTCTTTTCTGTTCGTCGACATTTTTCGAACAATTGCAAACGGAAGAGAAATAGAATATTCTAATAGATCTTCTCAAATACAGCCACGTAATAAAATTATAAAGCAATTAAAAAACACTAAAAGAAAAAGCGAATATTCAATGTTCAAACCGTTAAAGCGTTTAAGAATGCTAACAATAAGCTCAGAATTGAGAGAAATAATTGAAGTAAAAATTGAACACTGACACCGAATGTATTTACAAAGAAATAAATTCAACGTTATGTTTTATGGGCGTCTGGAAAGCTCTTAAGCCCGAAGTAAACAACACCTTGCAAATCGAAGTCGAAGAACAAAGAGATAAAGACATATTCCGCGCGGCCGTAACAACACAGCAAGAGTAACGTAAGTCACACGATCAATATTGATACAAAGAATGAATTTCATTTGCGAGGAAAATATCCGAGTTTCCTCCTCGCCAGTCGGAAATATGGGCAAACGATAAATCTACGGAAACAACGGATGCATCTGCGAAGATGCATCCCTTTATGTATAAACTCGTCTAGATAATAACGTTACCGGGGACACGTTCGGGTTTTATCGGACCGTCGTTCAAAGAGAGGAAAACGATATAGGTGGCGAAGAGATTCGTGCACAAAGCACGTATAATTTCCAAGTTTCGTATCTTCGTCGGGGAAATACGGGAACAGGATTGCACGTAGATAGAGAAACGTCTCCGAGATAAAGGAACACGGTCGATAGAAAACCAGTCGCTGCTGGAAATTTCTGTACACAGAGCTGCGTAACGTCGTAACAGCTTTTTTTACCGTTCGATGGCGAACTGTAAGATCGTCAACAACGACGAACGGCCGCGGATGAATCGCTGTAATGCGAAATTAATTGCGTAAAATGCGATCCGCACGAAAGGATGGCTCGACGCGCTCCCCCGTAGATTGAAATATTGCGATTCGATGCATCGATCGCGTGTAAAATCGCGTTAGTCGCATCGCGAGTCGCATAAAATATTTTGCGCGATTGCGATCCGTTTCGATCGTTACTTTATGCTCGCGGCCTAGCATGAAAATCGTTATGAAAATTCTGTACGAAGCTTGAGGGGTAAGGTTCGAGTTCGTGATATTCAAATAGCATTTAAACCTAGATTATATACAATATAAAAATAGTGATTGACGTATATCAGAATTTATTTATTCCCAAGTTATCGAGTTTTCAAACAAAAAAAAATTCCAATATATACTCTGTTCGCTATTTTGCCGTAATTAATGGTACCCCGGACGGACGATATCGAGTTCCAAATATATTTTCGATAATCTGGAATATTTTAATATCGACGTAGATTTCGAAACAGCTGTCAGCGGCCGCAAAATAATTTGGAAAACCTTATTATTGTGTAAATATACGCAACAAAAATTCGATCGGACGTCCCGCGAATTTCCATAAAACGCAATACGCGTAATTGAACTCCCGTGTAAACGTAATAATATCCGGCCGTCATCGGAGCTTTTTCTCGGCGGTAAGCAACAATAATACCTTTTTCTTTCCGCGAGTGCTCGTACGAGTGTCTCGACGATGAAATCTAAACGTAACGGCGAAATACAATGGCTCTTGGCAGCGGCGAGACCAGGAGAGAAGAAGACGAGAGGCGGTTCCCGCGAAAATATTATCGATGAAACCCGTTGCGGTCGCGAAATGCCACAAAAATCGCGATGCTATATCCCCCCTGAACGGCGAAATGAATTTCACCGAATATACGAGCGCGAAAGTATAACTTCATGGCGAGGAAATATGCGATTCGCGTCGTAAATAGACCAACCCCGAACTTTCAACATTCTCGACTATAAAGGATCGACTGCCAAAGGATTCGTGATAACATTCTCGTTCAATATTTATTCAGAATTATTCCGGATGCTCGAGTTAAGTTTCCACTCTTGCAAATTTACAAGTATGATTATCAAAAAATAAATTCTGAAATTAATTCAACGCGGTTCTTTTTACCGCGGGTTAATTCAACGGTGAAACGAATAGCTCCACGTTACAGTATTTAATAAAGTAACTGAAAAATTAAATGTTCGCACAGAGGTTGCATATACCGCTTTATTTCACGTAATAAATGACTCTGGATTGCAGTTGAAAAAGATTGTGCAAACGTATCACCTTGGATTTCTGTGATTTTCTGCGTTGTATCGCGTTATCCTTGATTATACTTGTTTTATTGGCGCAAACATTTAATTCGAAACTCTCTTTGAATAATTTCTATTCAAAGGCCCGATCGATCGAGCTCGATGAAAACTTGATTCTGAATTAATTAATCCAATCGTATTATCCGTCGATGTTTACGAGTTCCCAGTCGAGTGTAAAAAAAATTATAAATAGTGATGAGCGATGTTGCTTTCTTTATCGATTAATCTAATAAAAAAGGAACGATATCTTATCGCACACTCCAATCGTATTAAACGTTTGCCCATAATTATTATCTTCGATTCAAAATGAACTCGAAGCGTCGGTGAGTATTAAAGTATTCTCGGTTAATTTTTTCTAGAATATTTGCAGAAAACTCGGAATATTCTCGAGCCTTGGGTGGTTGGTATATATTTACGACACGCACTGCAGTTTCATCGCGCGGAATAAAGCAGAACCGCGTCGAAGTAGGGGAAAAAGGAGAAACTGAAACTCCAAGTCGAGCCCGAGAGGAAAAATCTACCCAGCGAGAGTTAATTTAATAGTTCCGTGCGTCGATGCGACCGCGAGATATCAGAGATCGTTAAACCTTATCGATTGCTAGCTGCATCATTAATCAGACAAGTTCATCGTAGCAAGCTGAAAGGCAGAAAGAGAGAAAACGATCGAACAAGAGAGAGAAGGGTAGTTGACGTTGTATATGTTGCGTCGTTGCGATGGTTACATGATTGCTGTGCATTTTCCCGTCGTGAATATGCACGCTGAAATACGACCATTGGCGAAAATCAAATCCCTATTGTACGGGGAAACGGTTGCAGGCCATCGATCGCTGTTGCAGGATGATTTTAAAAAACGTCTACGACTCTGTGGGCTCATCTCGAACCACCACAGAAAATTGATTCCAAATGTGAATTTTTTTTTATCAAAGAAAATACAAGAAAAATCCACTTTACGTGAGGGTGTACGACATTCATGTCGCGTGAATTTTTTACATTTCCGCTCGGGGAAGAGTTTCGTTTGTCCCAGTTTCTAGAATCGCCCTGTACATAGAACATGTGCACGGACACGGTAGCGAGCTTTTCTCCGCGCGACCGATTCTCGTTAAGATTGCAATACGTGACGCGGGACCGTGAAAAATGAATCATTTTCGCGGGATAACCGGGTCGTGTATACGTCGAAGTCTCTTCACGTTTCGGACTGATCCGCTTATGAACGCGGATTCGAATCTCGAGCGACGGAATAACGCAGAAACGAGCAACGCCCCAGCGTTAATTTAAAGCAAACACGCTGTGCCCCGTTAGTTCTCCGATAACTTCGACGCGAATCTCAAAACGATTTTAATAGTCGAGCGTTATAAGCCACGAGATAACGTTCTTTCCTTTGCCTCTCGGCGTTCACTTGTTTCTCAATCGACGAAGGGGGGGGGAGGGGGCAGGGAAGATTCAACGTTTCGCGTTGATTTTCGTCGCGCGAGAAAAGACGCGAAGAGTATCGCCGGCAACGAGAATCAGCCTTTTAGTATCCAAGTCTTTTCATCGGCACGAATCTGGATCTAATTAAAAGTTTCTTTCGATCTTCATCCAAACGTGTAAGGGCGTAGGGGAGCCCGTTAAAAATAATTTACGCCCGAATGCTCGAGTAGCCGCGTTTCATCTCTCGAGATTCGATTCGTTGAACCGATCTTTGATACGAAAGGAGGTGAAACTGTTTGGATGCGCTTGTATAATGAAAAAGAATGGAAGATTTAGGGTTGCGGGGACGTTGAGGGGAAACGAAAGTGTCTCGTTAACATCGATGATGGTTTGTTTTTTAAAGGATTGTCGAGACTCACCCGCTCCGAACGGTTGCGGCCCATTTTTGTCGTCCGTGGGTGATCCTTCCAGGCTTCCTGGCCCACTGTCAGCTCCTCCGGTTGCGCTGGAAGAAGGCAATGGTGGAGGACTACTTTACTACGCAATTTGTACTGTCCCATGTACACAGAGAATCGCCTACACAAGCAACCTTATAGGTTAACAAAGTATACAATATTTGAAAAGCATCGACAAGCCGTATATAAGTAGAATTCAGTAATAAAATGTTACCATACGTTCCCGGTTGCTCTTACGATAAATGAATATCGCAATAAGTGATCAGAGAAACAGGTGCATCGTATGATATGCGAACAAGGGATAAAACGTGTCGCAGTATACCTAAGTACAGTATTCTTAAAAAACGTAACTAAACGGAACAACTGCGTTTACGATTACATATACGCTGGCGTGTACGTGTGGTGTGAGTGTTGTATGGATGAGATTTGCTATCGTTTAAAACTTCTATTGTGCTCGCTCAACCGAACGTGTTATTTCTATGTGGCTCAGTATGCACTATTATAAGTCATATCATTAACATGCGCTCTTAAACATTAAGATTTTCTCTATTCGCTTCCAAACTAGGTTTACTATGGCTAGAGGTGAATGTGTTCGTATATGATTAGTAGATACGTGCTAGTTTCTGTTTTCCCTTGTATGTACTGTCCTAGGATTCCTGGAAATCGGCCTGGAACGATCGACAGTTGAAAGGACTGAAAGTTTGGCCTGGTTCAGAGTCTAGACTCTGTACCAGACTGCTCGTGGATTCTCAATTTATTATGCCTGGCACGTAATAAAGTGCATAATAAAGAGAGGCACCCGAGAACGAAAAAGTTTTGATTAAGGCATGCGCCGGTATCGATCCGGATTTTATGGGAAATGTAACGCGTTCGACGTTCCCCCGTCTAGAAATATTCGTTCGAATATTCATCAGGAAATTATCGTCGACGAAATGAAAAATTAAAAATGCAGTATCGAGTCACGCGATACCTCGAGCGGAAAAGACAGACGCCGGACGTGGAACGAGGAACGACGTTTACGTCGAAAGATTAAAATGCCCCGACGTTTCGAGAAAAAGACGCTAATCTATTATCTTTGAGGTCGTCGCGTACGTCCTGGTTCCGTCTTCCGCACGACGAATTATGCAATTCCTTTCGAGAGAATGCCCTCGACAAGCTTCGACGGAAACAATCTTGGAACCGTTCTTGAACCGAGATAGAAATTTTTCCTTCCCGACAGATTGCCGCAAGAAAATATTTGTCTTTTGGTAATATCCTCTTTCCGTGGCATCAACCCGATAGAAGGCATCGCAGTGGCCTGATTCTAGCGTTGACAAATTCCCGGAGAAATGACTTTGAAATAGAATTTTCGCTGCCCCGTGTTTGCCCTTAGAAACTATTTATCTTTTGTTAATAGCGACTGACCTGATTCTACCGGATTACGTTGACCATTATATTATCGACGGTACACAATGTTAGAAAATAATCCAACGCTCGAAAGCTTCGAATAAAAATGCTCAACCACAAAACGAACGGTCATTAGTCTCGTATACGGTTGGGAAACATTTTAATGGGAGATTCTAGAGGCCAAAATAAAACGAAAATCAAGAGTACTAATTTGCTGATGGAGGCTTCGTTAAAAAATTATTAACGTTTAAAGTTCCGCCTGTAAAGAATTTTTTTCTAGAAAGTGGGTAAGATTACAGGGGTAGGTCTATTCACCAAAAATGATTATAATTGACCCCCAGAACCAGAAATAATTTTTCCAGAACGATTTGAAATTTTTTAATTTTATCGAAAAAGTTCACACATTCTTGAATTTTTTTCTCGAAAGTGGATAGGATTTCGAGGGTATGCCTAATCATAAAAAATGATTGTAATTGACCCCCAGAACCGAAAATAATTTTTCCAGAACGATTTGAAATTTTTTAATTTCCTCTAAAAATTTCACACTTTCTCGAATTTTTTTCTCGAAAGTGGGTAAGATTTCGGGGGTATACCTAATGACCAATAATGATTGCAATCGATCCCCGCAACCGAATATAATTTTTTCGAGAACGATTTGAAATTTTTTAATTTTGTCCAAAAATTTCACTCGTTCTCGAATTTTTTTCTCGAAAGTGGGTAGGATTTTGAGGGTATGTCTAATGACCAAAAATGATTATAATTGACCCCCAGAACCGAAAATAATTTTTCCAGAACGATTTGAAATCTTTTAATTTTGTCAAAAAGATTAACATTCTCGAATTTTTTTCTCGAAAGTGAGTAGGATTTCGAGGGTATACCTAATGACCAATAATGATTGCAATTGACCCCCACAATCGAAAATAATTTTTCCAGAACGATTTAAAATTATTTAATTTTGTCGAAAAGATTCACACATTCTCGAATTTTTTTCTCGAAAGTGGGTAGGATTTCGAGCATATGCCTAATGATAAAAAATGATTGCAATTGACTCCCAGATCCAAAAATAATTTTTCGAGAACGATTTGAAATTTTTTAGTTTTGTCCAAAAATTTCACTCATTCTCGAATTTTTTTCTCGAAAGTGGGTAGGATTTTGAGGGTATGTCTAATGACCAAAAATGCTTGTAATTGACTCCTGTAACTAAATATAATTTTTCCAGTATGATTTGAAATTTTTTAATTTTCGTCTTATTTTGGCTTCTAGAATCTCCCATTAAAATTTTTTCCAGGGGGTGGCCGAGCACCCTGTATAATTAATTAATCGATTTTACGAATGAGTAATAGATCTATTACAATTTTCCATCAGCAATTATCGAAATTCTTCGTTTACACTCGTCGAAAACATTAAATTGCACGAAATGAAATTCACCTGCCTCGTTCGAGGGTGGTAGAATCGAAAACACATATTCCCGTGACCCGCGGACAACGCGTTAATTCGAAACAAATAATTCACACAGAATATTTACATTTCTATCGGGTATCGCAGGGGACAGAATTTTTACGAACACCGATACTGCAATTGGAATAAAATAAAGTGGAACGAAGAATGAGTAATATGGGATCAAGCATCTTCGAGCGTATACTCGGTGGAAGTAATACAGTGACTCTCGCCACTCTGGTGCTAGGCGAAACATTAAATCCTTTCAAGTACCCTTTTCGTTACCAAAAGATTTAAAAGCCACCCAGAAAATATTTAAAACATTTAAAATACTTTCCCAACGAAGTTTTTAAATATATCAAAAACTACGGCGGAGAGGAACTCTACGAAACTTTGCATTCAGCGACGGTAATAATACCGTGGCATTTAAAACGCCTAAGCTACGTTTGCATTAATATTCCGTAGAAACGAGCCGCGGGTATCGATCTGAACTTTTCGTTGCGCGATGCACGATTTATTTCCCTGTAAATATCGAAACTTCTCGCTCTCTGTATTAAACTGTGCCAAAGATAAAACTCGTTTCGCTGTTGGCTGGCGCGTAGAATTTGTCGCCGGGACGTTGATTCGCAACTTTAAGGCGGAAATTCGAGTCCCTGGTCTTAAGCTATCCGTTTCCAAACTTATATTACGTCCACCGAGCATACGTACGCATCGAAAAGTATCTTTTTACCTGCTAGCGTCGTCGTCTTTCGTTTGCTCGGGTGGAGCCTGAGGATTCGGCGCTACCTGAGCACCCTCGTTCGTTCCAGCAGCTCCTGGAACTTCGCCTTCCGGTCCGTGTGCACCGCGGCTTAATCCAGGTATGCCGCCGCTAAACCAACCCGTCATCTGGGTCTTCACACCAGCCAGCATTTCTAATTTGCTGTTGCCTTTTGTGGGGCTGGTAAACACAGAAAACACGTTTTCAGTCCACGCGGCGGTAATTAATCGACGACCGCAACGACGGTAAAAATGCATTTCCAGAAACAGAAAAATTGTTGCACTATTTCATTATAAAAAATTAACGCGCCATACTCGAAGGATATAGCAACTCGAAACCAAACTTAGGCGTTGCTGAACGATTCGTTGATATGAAATTTGCAAATCCGTGTGCTTGAAACTTCGTTCAGGTCAACCATATACTCCAAATATATAAAAAAAATTTTCCAGCGACGATCAACGACGGATAAAATAAAACGCAAAATTCTAACGAAGATTACGATCGATTACGTACGAATAAAATTATTGTCTGGGCTGGTTATCGTCCTAATAGCAATAAACGATATCCGTGCGTTCGAACCCTCGACTGTTTGTTCCGTTTCATCGGGCTTTATTGCCATTGCTGGAGTTGGGGGGGGGGGGTGGGTAAAATAGGCCATAGGGGAGTTTCTCTATAGTGATCTGATTTCTGCCTATTTCCTATAAATATGTTACGAACAAAAACAGGTCAGTGTAACCCGTGCGGTGTGCCAACGAAACATTGTCGCAACTATAACTCATTTAGGAGTAGCATGGCTTTGTAAATGACGTTACCGGGGCTATAAGCGTGTCCCATTAAACGGAACCCACCCCCTCCGCCACCCTTTGACGATGCAAGGGTCGTGAAAAATTCCTCGTTGCGCATCCTATACCTTTGCGTTCCCCAAACGAAGATACGAGAATTAAGCGAACGCAGATGTCATGGCAATGCATAACAATGACGTTTCGATAATAGCCGGTATCGGATACGCATCGAACCCCAATCATTCCGAATTACTCGACGCGCGAAACGCCGTTTTGTTAATAACTTGTTCCGTGCTGGTAACAAACGGCTATGAAACTTAATCCCGCAGCTCGTAAAACACTAAAAAATAGATGGAATTTCTACGTACAGTAATTATTGCTCGTAAAAGGGAATAACAATATAGCCAATTATGGCGTGATCAAGCACGGGTTTATTTTGTAAAACATTAGTTACGAGCTTACGGCAGAACATAAATCGCGATACGTTTCTGCACGCGAAACTAGCAATCGCGTAGACACATCGATTTTAGCGTAGTAATTGCCTGAGAGAACTGTTTAATTATTTTTTTTTGTTATTTTCTGACGAGAGGATTAGACGAATTAGTTATTCGGACGAGAGAGGGTAGATTATTAATTCGGGGAAATATGACAGCAATGATCGAACAAAAGAATTGTTGCAACGCGAATTATGAAAATTTCAACGTTGTGCAAGGGGAGGAAAAGGTGCTGAAAGGGCAGAGTTTTCATTACCATTATACGAAATTTAACAGTTTCGCGCGAGGACGGCCTGTGGTCGTATCGATTGCGACCTATATAAAAGATTACTAACCCACCCAACCATTCTGGAAATATCGGTTCCAACTGTTTTCGACATCTTTTCGTACGCGACCGTTGCAGGAAACCCTTCGGGAATACCTTATTGTTCGATCACGTAGCCACTGCGTTCTACTTATGTTTTTTTCTCGTCTCGTTCCAACTAATATCAGATATACTGCACTTCGTCCACGGAACCAGCTAAAAGCGAAATAATTCAGCTCTAATCCGAGCTTATGTGTGTTACAAGTGGTCCATTTAGACTGATCTCTGCAGGAATTATTTTCAAATTTGAGTCACGGGGCAGACCAATACTATAGTTAGAAATAGCGAAAAATTATTTAACTTTCTATTTATCTTCATACAGACTATTAGAAATTGGTTATTATTTAGCTTTTCAATAAACGTTACACTTTATTTTACTACGCTTTAGAAGAGACTTTTACAAGAGAACTGAATTGCAATCGAACAGAAAAACTGAGAGCTAACGAACTGTGGCGTTGGAGACTAATATCACCCTTGTGTTAAACAGCAAGATACAGCATCTCTCTCCATCAGAATAGGAGACCAGTAAATGAGATTAATTTTTGTACTCAGTTTTTAACATAGACACGCTTACTCTAAACAAGAAACAACCTACGAGTCAATTTTCTACGATCAAATGTATCGAGGGTGAAATTTACGTTTCCCCGATACGCGGTGAAATGTTTATCAGGGAGATCCTCCCGTGATGAAATCAACCGAGCAATTGACCCGAAAGATTACTGAATTATGCACGACCTTTGGCGTGCTCGCGTCTGTTTCACCAACGCGGTGGCTACGGTATTTATCCTTCCTTTTTCCCCACTGGCCCTGGTTTTCTCTTTTTCCCCGTTCGCCCTTTGAAGCGGATGAGGCGCGCGAATTAAAAGCCACCTACAATAACATATCTGGCTCGAAAGGCAGGCGCCTCTCGTCGGTGTCGACCCCCTCCCCCCTACGCCCGTCCCGTATGAATAAAAATACTCGAATGCGACCGAATAAAGGGAATTAAATTATCGGGGCGAATCCGCGACTCTTTAAAAACCTCTGGCCTCTCGTGACACACAAAAGGTGTCGCGGCGGGGGCGCAAAATAAAAATCGAATCCTCGCGAGAAGAATGGTAACCGGGGCAAAAGCGTCGAGGAGTTTTTTGTAAATTAATTCGCCACGAATTATTTGGTACGCGGTTCTACGTTTACCACGGTGTTTAATAGACGACGATAAATATTGGGTTGTTCGGAAAGTAGTTTCGTTTTCTTACAAACAAACGTTAATTGTATTTTTAATCAGTGATCTTTATTGTAAACTGTATTTTCATTATACTGGGTGTTCGGTCATCTCTGGGAGAAATTTGAATGGATGATTCTAGAGGCCAAAATAAGACGAAAATCCAGAATACCAATTTGTTGATGGAGGCTTTGTTAAGAAGTTATTAACGTTTAAAGTTTCGCTAGTAATGAATTTTTTTCTAGAAAGTGGGTAGGATTTCGGGGGTAGGTCTAATGACCAAAAATAATAGTAATTGGCCCCCGCAACCGAAAATAATTTTTCAAGAACGATTTGAAAGTTTTTAATTTTGTCGAAAAATTTCACACCTTTTCGAATTTTTATCTCGAAAACGGGTAGGATTTCGAGGGTATGCCTAATGACCAGAAATAATTATAATTGACCCCCGCAACCGAAAATAATTTTTTCACATCGATTTGAAATTTTATAATTTTGTCGAAAAATTTCACACCTTTCCGAATTTTTTTCTCGAAAACGAGTAGGATTTCGAGGGTATGCCTAATGACCAATAATGTTTGCAATTGACCCCCGCAACCGAAAATAATTTTTCCAGAACGATTCCAAATTTTATAATTTTGTCGAAAAATTTCACACCTTCTCGAATTTTTATCTCGAAAATGGGTAGGATTTCGAGAGTATGCCTAATGACCAAAAATGATTGTAATTGACCCCCGCAACTGAAAATAATTTTTCCAGATCGGTTTTAAATTTTATAATTTTGTCGAAAAATTTCACACCTTTCCGAATTTTTTTCTCGAAAACGAGTAGGATTTCGAGGGTATGCCTAATGACCAATAATGTTTGCAATTGACCCCCGTAACCGAAAATAATTTTTCCAGAACGATTCCAAATTTTATAATTTTGTCGAAAAATTTCACACCTTCGCGAATTTTTATCTCGAAAATGGGTAGGATTTCAGGGGTATGTGTATTCACCAAAAATTATTGTAATTGACCCCCGCAACTGAAAATAATTTTTCCAGATCGGTTTTAAATTTTATAATTTTGTCGAAAAATTTCACACCTTTCCGAATTTTTTTCTCGAAAGTGGGTAGGATTTCGAAGGTATGCCTAATGACCAGAAATAATTGTAATTGACCCCCGCAACCGAAAATAATTTTTCCAGATCGATTTTAAATTTTATAATTTTGTCGAAAAATTTCACACCTTCGCGAATTTTTATCTCGAAAATGGGTAGGATTTCAGGGGTATGTGTATTCACCAAAAATTATTGTAATTGACCCCCGCAACTGAAAATAATTTTTCCAGATCGGTTTTAAATTTTATAATTTTGTCGAAAAATTTCACACCTTTCCGAATTTTTTTCTCGAAAACGAGTAGGATTTCGAGGGTATGCCTAATGACCAATAATGTTTGCAATTGACCCCCGTAACCGAAAATAATTTTTCCAGAACGATTCCAAATTTTATAATTTTGTCGAAAAATTTCACACCTTCGCGAATTTTTATCTCGAAAATGGGTAGGATTTCAGGGGTATGTGTATTCACCAAAAATTATTGTAATTGACCCCCGCAACTGAAAATAATTTTTCCAGATCGGTTTTAAATTTTATAATTTTGTCGAAAAATTTCACACCTTTCCGAATTTTTTTCTCGAAAGTGGGTAGGATTTCGAAGGTATGCCTAATGACCAGAAATAATTGTAATTGACCCCCGCAACCGAAAATAATTTTTCCAGATCGATTTTAAATTTTATAATTTTGTCGAAAAATGTCACACCTATTCGAATTTTGTTCTCGAAAGTGGGTAGGATTTCAGGGGTATGTCTATTCACCCAAAATGCTTGTAATTAACCCCTGTATCTAAATATAATTTTTTCAGAATGATTTGAAATTTTTTAATAACTTGTTAACGAAGCTTCAGTCAAGAATTTGATATTCTTGATTTTCGTTTTATTCTGGCCTCCAGAATCTACCATTAAAATTTTTTTCTCGAAAACGAGTAGGATTTCGAGGGTATGCCTAATGACCAATAATGTTTGCAATTGACCCCCGTAACCGAAAATAATTTTTCCAGAACGATTCCAAATTTTATAATTTTGTCGAAAAATTTCACACCTTCGCGAATTTTTATCTCGAAAATGGGTAGGATTTCAGGGGTATGTGTATTCACCAAAAATTATTGTAATTGACCCCCGCAACTGAAAATAATTTTTCCAGATCGGTTTTAAATTTTATAATTTTGTCGAAAAATTTCACACCTTTCCGAATTTTTTTCTCGAAAGTGGGTAGGAATTCGAAGGTATGCCTAATGACCAGAAATAATTGTAATTGACCCCCGCAACCGAAAATAATTTTTCCAGATCGATTTTAAATTTTATAATTTTGTCGAAAAATGTCACACCTATTCGAATTTTGTTCTCGAAAGTGGGTAGGATTTCAGGGGTATGTCTATTCACCCAAAATGCTTGTAATTAACCCCTGTATCTAAATATAATTTTTTCAGAATGATTTGAAATTTTTTAATAACTTGTTAACGAAGCTTCAGTCAAGAATTTGATATTCTTGATTTTCGTTTTATTCTGGCCTCCAGAATCTACCATTAAAATTTTCCCAGGGTTGGCTGAACACCCTGTATATTGTAAGAAAATTGTTCCTTTCCACGAAGAGGAAAAAGGAGGAACAACCCAATAAAATGCTGGTGGTCGTTGAACAATCGGAATACTCCGGGAATCGTGTCCTTTTTTAATCGTGTATAATTTTTCCCCCACGTTGGAGTAAAAAGTACTCGATCGTTTTTCGATTAATACGTCGGGAAAACATCGCAATCGAGAAAAACATGAAGATGTTCGTTATGGAAAAACGCGTGGGCAGCGGTGGGGGAACGTCAAATTAAATTGGAAATTAAATCGTCTCGAAAATATCGCGTGGCTGGAAACAATTTTAATTTTCTCTTTCTCGTTCTAATGGCGCAGCGTTTAAACAAATTAAAGCAGTTGGAAATAATAGTCGAGTGCATCGCATATTCGTATATCGACATATCGATTGATCTTGACTTTGTTTTGTATCAGACAATAACAATTAAATAACGATTATATCTAAATAATATGAAATATCTACGAGAGCCTGATAATTAAAAAATATTACGCTTTTCCGAGTATTCGAACATTACTAATGAACACTTAACCTTTGAAAGAACTAGCAGATGTTTTGTTCAAATATTTATTTTTAATAGTATCCCGTTTTCGCTGACCTTTATCAAGTACGAAAACGTGTACGCGAAATTAGACACGATCGCGTGCCAATAAATAAATATAATAATTGTCTAAAAATGCCTTGCACAAAGTCCTTTATTTAAATTAAACATTTAGATTTAAACATTTCACAGACCTGAGATTCTTCAATTATAAAATCGAAGCTGAATGGTAAAGATTTTGTGTCAAATTGCCAACCACGTGAAATCAATAAAAGACAGGATATTACATAATCCTACGAATCTGTACGAGTTTTCCCAAATAAATTTTAAATGGATGTTAAATAAAAATACATTATGCCACTTACGCCATAACTCGTTATTTGAACAGCGTAAAATATTTTTTTTTTATTTCATCCGGTAACGAAAAATGTTGTGCTACGCTGGCCCAAAATATCACTCGAAAACCTAAAAATTGATTTTCTCGCGAACGAAGCTTCGTACGAAAACATGTTACTCGAAATTTTCAATTCCCATTCGTACGAAGTCACCATCATTTTTTGTTTATTGCACAACAATTTCCACCGCACCCTGTATTATACAAGGTGTTCAGACACACCTGTGAAAAATTAATGGAAGATTCCAGAAGTCAAAATAAGACGAAAATCAAGAATATCAATTTGTTGATTGAGGCTTCGTTAAAAAGTTATTAAGAAATTAAATCAAAAAATTTCAAATCGTTCTAAAAAATTATTTTTGGTTGCAGGGGTCAATTGCAATCATTTTTGGTGAATAGACACACCCCCGAAATCCTACGCATTTTCGAGAAAAAAATTCAGGAAGATGGACAAATATTTCGACAAAATTAAAAAATTTCAAATCGTTCTGAAAAAATTATATTCGGTTGCGGGGATCGATTACAATCATTTTTGGTCATTAGACACACCCCTGAAATCCTACCCACTTTCGAGAAAAAAATTCGAGTAGATACTGAAATTTTTAGACGAAATTAAAAAATTTCAAATCATACTAAAAAAATTATATTTAGTTACAGGGCTCAATTACAAGCATTTTTGGTGAATAGACACACCCCTGAAATCCTACGCATTTTCGAGAAAAAAATTCAGGAAGATGGACAAATATTTCGACAAAATTAAAAAATTTTAAATCGTTCTGAAAAAATTATATTCGGTTGCGGCGATCGATTACAATCATTTTTGGTCATTAGACACACCCCTGAAATCCTACCCACTTTCGAGAAAAAAATTCGAGTAGATACTGAAATTTTTAGACGAAGTTAAAAAATTTCAAATCATACTAAAAAAATTATATTTAGTTACAGGGCTCAATTACAAGCATTTTTGGTGAGTAGACATACCCCTGAAATCCAACCCACTTTCGAGAAAAAAATTCGAGTAGATACTGAAATTTTTAGACGAAATTAAAAAATTTCAAATCATACTAAAAAAAATTATATTTAGTTACAGGGCTGAATTACAAGCATTTTTGGTGAATAGACACACCCCTGAAATCCTACGCATTTTCGAGAAAAAAATTCAGGAAGATAGACAAATATTTCGACAAAATTAAAAAATTTCAAATCGTTCTGAAAAAATTATTTTCGGTTGCGGGGGTCGATTACAATCATTTTTGATCATTAGACACACCCCTGAAATCCTACGCATTTTCGAGAAAAAAATTCGAGTAGATACTGAAATTTTTAGACGAAATTAAAAAATTTCAAATCATACTAAAAAAATTATATTTAGTTACAGGGCTCAATTACAAGCATTTTTGGTGAATAGACACACCCCTGAAATCCAACCCACTTTCGAGAAAAAAATTCGAGTAGATACTGAAATTTTTAGACGAAATTAAAAAATTTCAAATCATACTAAAAAAATTATATTTAGTTACAGGGCTGAATTACAAGCATTTTTGGTGAATAGACACACCCCTGAAATCCTACGCATTTTCGAGAAAAAAATTCGAGTAGATACTGAAATTTTTAGACGAAATTAAAAAATTTCAAATCATACTAAAAAAATTATATTTAGTTACAGGGCTGAATTACAAGCATTTTTGGTGAATAGACACACCCTCGAAATCCTACGTACTATCGAGAAAAAAATTCGTTACTGAAAATATACTGTGTGGCCAGGAATGTTTCTATAACTTTTTAACGAAGCCTCAATCGACATATTAGTATCCTTGATTTTCGTCGAAAATTCGTGTTCCGTTTGACAAAGCAAATTTTATCACGAAAATTTACAATTTTCGACATAATGGACAAAAAACGAAAAACGTACAGTCCGAATGAAACAGCGACATCTAAATCTCGTGACAAGTTTTACACGTTACTTAAGTTCTAAATTAAGAAGACATTATACAAAATGTTGGCGGATCTCACGCATAGAAAGTTGTATCCAGTGAATAAAATTATGTCGAACTTTTTGTGCCGTATTTTGCATTTCTCGATTTGCAATTCTCGACTTTAATTGGTCATGACTTGTTACGTTTCTCGAATAAATTACATCTTTTACGTGCCACCGTAGATGAGAATCTAGAAGCGTTAAGTTTGATGACCGTGGTGGTCAAGCTCTACTGTTCCACCACGAGCAATTCAACATACGAAGTGCAAAGATCATGTAAGAACTCACAAATTCGTTATTGATTATCCCATCCCATACATTTACGCTCCATCTTTGTTGGAAGTGTTCTTCTGATATCGTAAAAGGGTTTTCAACTATCCGGTAATGTGAGTTACGACCGTTGAAAATTTTCGAATCCGTCTTATTTCGAATCATAAAATCACCCTAACCTATTTGTACTGCTGGTTTTGGGTCATCGTGTACATGTACGCGTCTACTTTAGGTCCATTCTACACGAGGACTGCAGACTTCGTTAATAATGGAAGCAAGAAACGAAGACGAAATGAGCGAAGTCGATAAAATAATATATTCCGCGCCCGAAAGAACAACGACGAAATTATACGTAAATTAAATATGAATGTCGAAGATTTCGTTTCGACGCAAAAGATGTTAACAGCGACAAAGTCATTTACCGAAGACAAAGGGAAAAGGCGAGCTCGAGAATGAATCACGATGTTTTCAAGATGATTTTACGTATCGCGACGGTGCTGTTTCGGTCACAGAAACTTATTTTAAAAATCTGTTATATGTGACGTAACATTCGAAGTATGGCCCCGTACATGTCATATTTCGTGCACAAAGTCAGCCGATAGCGCTTATAAACTGGTTCACATCCTGCATCTTTGAAACGGAAAATACGAACTATCTGCAACGTTGAAAATCCACGAGAGCGAGAGACGACTAATACAATATTTAAACCGTTATTATCTTAAATAATCGAACGCGGAAAACGGAAATGCAGATAGCGAATAAACTGCACGTAATATTTGACACAATATACATATATCAATGGATCTAGGAAATTGATCTTTATGGATTAACAGAAACGTAGGAAATATACACGTTTTAACGTTAAAGTCTTAGCGGACTTTCAATCCGTTGCATCCACTAACGATACTGGTAATACGGAGAACCATTGTGACAATTCCGGATAAATCATTATTTCTCCGATTTCTGTCAGTCATTAATAATCGCGAAACGCCACAGAAGTTTAAGTGCAGAACTGCACGGAGTCCGTGTTAACCTCATTCCGATTCATAGAACGTTGTAACATTGTCGCACGAGTAGTACTTTACGTAAGTAGCGGGACAGTTGTTATCGATCTAATCTCAAAAATGCATCCACGATTGTTCCGAAAGTTTGAACGCGTCCCACGAATGCGCAAGAGGAACGTAAAATCGTCTGTCGATTGACCATGAACCGAGACTCCGGTTAAAAACACCCGGTCCCGTTTGACAGGCGAGAAACATCACCATTGAAACGCAATACGTACGTTCTCTAGTTACGGAACAATGAGAGCTAGCGTTACCTGACCGCGAATAAAATTAACTCCGAACGCAAAATGTTCGAATATTACACGTAAAACTTGTGACAAACGAGTTACGACGTTCAATATTTAAACGACTGTGTAAGGTTAAGCTTGTGGTACTCACCTATCTTTTTTTTCTACGTCAACTTCTCCCTCGGCGACTGGAGACGCAACTTTTTTGTCGGGTACTTCCATACCATCCTCGGACTTCTTGCCCATCCACGTTGACATTTGGTTTGTTAAACCCGAGAACATTTTCAATTACGATGAGCCAAATATTTCACAGTGAAATGCTTGAGACAGATTATGTCGCTCTTCTTCTTCCGATCTCCTACGGTAGCAGAGACGTTACTAAGGCCCTTGCGGGATCGGAATGACGATAGAACTCACAGAACTCGCCGTTTTGATAATCGCGCAACCACGAACTGCACGGATACTACGTCTAATGGCGCGTCTTACGCTGCGCTGTAGCAAAGCTTTCAGCACTAGCCACCAGATGGCGACAAACAGCAGTAACTCGTAAATTCCCTATAACGTTAATTTTGCCAAATGTCCCTGCAACAAAAACAGGCTTTACCAGAGATGCCAGAAAAGCACCGCCGGGTGCACACGCGACATGCCAGATACGCATACGTGAGCTCGTGGAGTTTCGGAAAGACGACAAAGTCAAACTGACGCATGCCCTCTTTCTCGATTCTCCGAAGCCGCCCGAAGTAATTTCGGATCGCCTCGTGGAAGTCGAGAGAGAAAGGCTCACATTTGCCTTCTCGCTCTAAACAACTGAAATCCGACCTCCCGTCAACGGCATACGATTTGGATTCTCGAGCCGAGATTCTCGACTGCCCAGGCATTTTTACTTTCCGACCTATGTAGGCGCACATAAGCAAAGTACCCATAATGAAAAAAAAATTTTGTACAATTTATTTTACGGAAATACACGTTTTAAGACCTCCTGATCATATTTTAATTATTGAAAAAAAAGAAATTTTTTTTTATTCCCATGTATGAGCACACATATGTATATTATTAATACGATTGAATATAAATAGCTGAATGAATTTAAATGAAACTTTACATTTAAGTTTTATGTTCTCATTTCAAAGGCGTGTGGACGGATTCAGATACGTGAACACTAAACGTAACGATGTAATTATATTATTTAATATTTACTAACTATTTAACATAAAGAACATAAAAGAAAGACATAAAACGTAAACGTAAAAGATCATAAACGTAAAACTGTGATTGCTCTCGACTAACGTTCGATACAGAGTGACGTTCCTGCAGTCAAAGTCGACCCTTCCTTATTCCTATCTTATAATAATGATCTAAACAAAACGCACGTTCGAGACGCAGTCTCTAAAACGTATTTCAGCTTAAACCTAAACACCTCTCTCGATACCTACTCTAGCTTAGACTAAACACTCCTATCGACGCAAACGATAACGGTTCTCCTAGCCACACACATACACTCCTTACAGATTATATATAGAGGGATATAGCTGGGAAAAACAGTTTTATGACATTACCTGCTAACTTATGTTACTGTTCTACAATGAAACGCTATGTTTTGTACCTTTAAAAATATTCGACTATGTGCTTTTAAAATTTAAGATACAACCCATACTTTGTATTAAACTGGCAAACGGGATCACTTTTCCTTTGTTTCTAGTTAGTTCTATTTAGTTCGTCATAACCAATTGATACGGTTATTTCAAAACAATCGAGGGAAATCATTATTAATTAATTTCTGCAATTATTAATTCTACTGTTTTGTTTATGTTATAAAAGTAAGAACTCTTCTTATTGATGTCGGAGTGCGTTTTAACAAAATACTAAAATATTTTATTGATACAATCGACTGCCGAAGCGAGGAGAAAACAGGAAGAAGAAGAAGAAGAAGAAGAAGAAGAAGAAGAAGAAGAAGAAGAAGAAGAAGAACGAGCCCGCTCGCTCGCGGATTATTTATACACCTCGCGCACACGCTCTCTCTTTCTTTCCTTCTCTCGCGCGCGCGCACGCATTTCTTTTCTAATTGCGCGAATATTCAAATCGTTGCTACATTGAAAAATACCACAGCGTGCACAATACTGGTAAAGAGTGGGATCTCATTTTAATTTATTAATTTTCAATCTTTAAGTATTTTGATTTTCAAAAATCGTATTAATAATATACATATGTGTGCTCATACATGGGAATAAAAAAAAATTTCTTTTTTTTTCAATAATTAAAATATGATCAGGAGGTCTTAAAACGTGTATTTCCGTAAAATAAATTTTACAAAATTTTTTTTTCATTATGGGTACTTTGCTTATGTGCGCCTACATAGGTCGGAAAGTAAAAATGCCTGGGCAGTCGAGAATCTCGGCTCGAGAATCCAAATCGTATGCCGTTGACGGGAGGTCGGATTTCAGTTGTTTAGAGCGAGAAGGCAAATGTGAGCCTTTCTCTCTCGACTCCCACGAGGCGATCCGAAATTACTTCGGGCGGCTTCGGAGAATCGAGAAAGAGGGCATGCGTCAGTTTGCCTTTGTCGACTTTCCGAAACTCCACGAGCTCACGTACGCGTATCTGGCATGCGCGCGTGTGCACCCGGCGGTGCTTTTCTGGCATCTCTGTCAGGATGCAACACTAGTATTTCATATTCAATAGTTGAATAAAAGTGGCGCATACTTTATTCAGCTTCGGTATTCGATACATGTAATGTGTTGAATACCAAATCACGAATATATGGGCCAGGAATAAATTTTTTCTGGATCAGTTAAACGCATGCCGTAGTCATCTGTATATGATATTAGTATGATATTTATACTTTGAATTTTATAAAATATATTTCTTATATAATAGTGTCATTCTATAAAAAATTGTAACACTAGTGTGGTATTAGCTAATATCATACGTATACGCGACACGAAACAATGATGTATTTGTCATTCGTCAGTGAAACTATAAATATTCTTCACGAATCAGATGCCGAAAACAGATACCGAAAACAAAGTATAATGTATGCGGTGTTCGACGATGCGTCAAATCCAAGTTACAGGAATATTTGTTATTCGACAATATACACGAATACAAAGTATAAGTGATTAGGCAGGTAATCAAAGAATAGTGTGCACATTCTGTGTTCGACAAAGATTCCAAATAAAAGTATTTCGTAGTTGCGCAGCTAGAAACGTGCAAATGCTTCATTCGATCAGAAACAGACAATAAATTAGCAATGTATCCAACGTTAGAATAGTTTTAGAAATACATTTTATCCGTTCTTGGCCAAATGTGTGGTAGTAAGCAGGTCCATTATTTTGACAATAGAGCTGGTGAATACGCCCCTGGGTGCACAATTGCGCGCGTGCCTAATCTTCGCCGCTGTCACATTCTGTCAAGCCCCGGTCGTCAGCCTGAGCTCATCAGCCATGCTGTCTCTAACTGTAAAGAGCATAAATCCAAGGCATTAAGTGTCGCTTGGCGCGGTTCCGGGCCACTGCGAAAAACGACGGCTCCCAATCGCGATCAAACATGTACCGTATCGTTTCCGATCTAACAGCCGATACGGGTGTGTCTACGCGCGTGTTCCGATACGTGACCAAGTATGTCAGTCAGTTCGTAAAAGTGCGACGTGTGCCGTAGCCGTAGCAAGCATTAGGTTACCGGTAAACAGGAATTCCCTAACGATGTCAGCTGACATCCTGCAGGACAGAGGTGTAGCCTTGAATGGCAAGAACGATATACCGGTAGCCCCGCAGCCAACAACCAGGGGTGGACTCAGAGTCTACAAGATCGTTGTTTTGGGCGACGGTGGGGTTGGTAAATCAGGTAATTATAGCTTCTACCGTCGATCACTCCGGAGGACCTGTTGCAATACATGTACATTACAGAAATCATCTTTCAGCTATCACTCTGCAATTTGTCAGTCACAGCTTCCTTGACTATCACGATCCAACAATAGGTAAGAATTTCGTTTGGGGTGTCCAAGATCACGATTTCTTTCAAAAGCTGCGATATTGCTTACTCGAGGCTTCTTAGCTTTCAGGATAGAATCTAATCTTTTTTGTTATTGACAGAGGATTCGTACCAACAACAGGCAGTCATAGATGGTGAGGCTGCGCTGTTAGATATATTGGATACTGCTGGACAGGTCAGACTTCTTTTATTACAGGGTTTATGCTTTTAAGGCACCTGGTTTATTACATCTGCTGTGTTTTTTTCTCGAATGTAGGTAGAATTCACAGCTATGCGTGATCAATATATGAGATGTGGAGAGGGCTTTATGATATGTTATTCTGTAACAGATAGGCATAGTTTTCAGGAAGCTTTAGAATATCGAAAATTGATATCTCGTGTAAGGGCTAATGAGGATACACCGTTGGTGTTGATCGGCAATAAGTTTGATTTACAACACCAAAGAAAGGTAGAGAGCTTGTGTAGAATTAGGATTTTTCGTTTTCACGTGTATGATAATCACATTACAGGTAACTACAGAGGAGGGGAAGGCACTTGCTGATCAGCTTGGTTGTCCATTCTATGAAACATCTGCAGCACTTAGACAATTTATAGACGATGCATTTTACTCGTTAGTCAGACAAATTCGGGCTAAAGAGAGATCGCGGAATTCGGTGCGTAAGCACAGCCGCTGGTGGCGATTACGATCGATATTTGCCTTTATTTTCAGAAGAAAACAAAGACACAATAGCAATCATCACTATTCCCCGTGAATGTGATCATTTTAATAGAGGTCTTATTTGATAGCGTGTATTTTAAATTGATAAAACATAGCAACACAAATGGTTGAAACTTCCATAGATTACAACGAACAAAATTTTGTGTGATTTTTTACATTTTATAGCAGTCTCTCTAGCCAGAGACTTATTCACTCACATCACACTGCCTTATCTTTAACCCCATTATATTTTGAACATAACAATGGAGACATTAAACATAGACTGCCATACATGGTTCTTATCATAGGCCCTGCAACATTACGTTGAATTAGATTTAATTGTCTTTACTGCTCAAAAAGGAGTTGAACATAGGATATATTGTACTACATGATAAAGGTTTTAGTTTTCTTGAGAGTACAGTTTTGATATGGCAGTAGTATGACAGTAATAGTATTTTCACAATTCTCTGTCTCCTGATACGATAGCTCTTTCATTATTATTTATTAAAAAGGCTGTTAATGTTATTTATAGTATATTGTATTGAGCAAAGTAATAGATAACTGAAATTGATATGCCTAATCCATACAGGAATAGTTTACTTACGTACTGTTTAAATTATTATAGTCACGACCAGTTGTTGTCTCTTTCTATGCAGAATTTAAATTTTAATTGCCAGAATACAACTGTTACATACGACCAAAGAAATTAACATTCAGTGCTGAGGTAACATGAAATACAAAGTAAAGAATTTGTAAATGCGAGATGTAGGGAAAGCTTTATAATACTAACTGTTATCTTGTCCTAATTAACGATACGAAGTTAACAATTTGAATTTTATTTATACTAATTTAGTTTTTACAGAAATAAGATTTACGAATGATTTTATATTGAATTAAAAGTAGATCATTATAATGTATATGAAAGTTATAATTATTTGTAAAGTTTACAGATGTTACATATTTAAAAGTCGCACAAAGCGTAAGCATTTTTAAAAAGACATTTTACGATCAAAAGAAATATTTACACGAATATATTTTTATGTTTAAAGATTAAACGAATAATGATAGCAGTTTGAAATGATATAGCAAGTCAACAGAATTTTACATTTGTGGACTACCAAAACTTCTGAAATGGCTCCTAAAAAAAAAAAAAAAATCGAAGTTTATTAAATTAAAACTAACACTATATACGTATACATATAATAGACTCTATTTTCACGATTCCTGATATTTGTTATTTATTGAAATTTTTAACTCGCGCAGCTTCAGAATACACGCTTTCATTTTTAGAGTGTGTAAGGAAGTATACAGTTATAGACGAATCGTGACAGTTTAGCGATATATTAATAGAATTATATGCTTTAAATAGTTGCCACGTAATAGAGCAAATTTCTAATGGCAAATAGTCATAATATAAAAGAAAAGAATAGTTGAATGTAAGTTTATATAATAAACATCTAGTCGTTACTTAATGTTTCCTAGTCAAGTTTTGCATTTTGTTATACACATAATAATTTACAGTTTAAATATGCAGTTATAAAATTTGATTAAACCCGATTTAACACGATTGTTTGTATGTTTATGATACCCTATAAATATTTATGTACATTAGTATTACATTCGTTATAAATATTTTATAAATGCTACACTATTAATAGATACCGGTGATTAATATTTAATTCATAATAGTGACGATATTAACCAGAACTATTTTTATTTTTTAGAATAAAATTAAAGTATTATTGTCAGAATTGATAATAAGTTGCATAGTGCGCACAGCTTTGCACTAATAATGTAGGAAGTATTATTAAATACAAGTAAAGTGTGTTTGATTTTCAAATATTTGTAATGATGAAAGAGTCCTATAGTTGCTCTAGTTTCATTAATATGTTTAGTATTTTATATAATTTTAAACATTTCACTATGGAGTATGTATATACATATAAAATATAGAGAGAACAGAAATGCGAATATGTACTATATTAATACGAAAAAGAAATTTGTATAACTGTGCTTTCAGTATAACGTGTAATATGTATTACCTAAAAAATCGAATTAGATATAAAAATGTTAAGAATTAGAAATGATAACTTATAAATTACGTGGTAAATTCAAGTCAGTTCTGTATACAAATTATACAGAAGAAACACAATTTACAATGACAATACGATAAAATATTAGAAAAAATATAAGTTTACAATATATTATCAAAGAAATTTTTTAGCAGAACAAGAAACAAAAGACGCATATAATATACATGCTCATTTTGATATTAAACAATAAATTTGATACAATTGAAATAAATTTATGTAAAATTAATATCGTATATGAATTGTAAATGTGATAGGCTGATTGGAAATATCAAAATAAATTATAAAAGTTTTGAAAATACATGAGCCTAATCTATAGACATACTGTTTTGCAATACAATGCTTGGTATATTAATAATTATTACTTTCAGATTTATATTCCATACCTCACCCTAAATACCAAAGTTATTATTCATATGTATTCTTCTGTATCGATTTTGTAGAGTTTATTATTAAATGTTTCTTGTAGTATAGGTTTATAATTCTAAATTAATGTACAAGAATCATTTATTTTTCATAACATCTAACCAGATACATTTAATAAATGTTCAATAATATATTCATTTCATTCAAACATGACCTAGTTGAATATACAATACAGAGTAACAACACAATTTATTCCTATAAACTAATGTAATTTTTAGTTTTTATAAACTTATCGGAATAATAATTACATTTATTTTAGTGAAAAATTTAATTATAGTTTAAAATAATGAGAAATTCTTTGAACGAGTAAAACTTTAATATGTATGTATATAAATCCTACATTGTATAAATAGAATATATTGGCACTTAGCTTTGAAGTTCTTTCTTCTTCCGTGTAATTTTACGAGTATTTTGATTCAAGTTACCAAATTATAAAAGACTTAAAATTTGGATTATTTTCAAACAGATTATGGAAAGTTATAATTCTATCATTTATTATTAGTTACCAGTTGTTTCTGCTTTCATTTCCCGATCTCTTTCAGTTTCTACTACGTTGCCATCCATGGATCCTGTATTCCCTTGTTTATTCTTTTCTGTATAAGCCACAACAAAAATAAAATAATTTGAATTTGAAGTTCTTTGCTATTTACGCTTGAGAGCAACACATATTAATCGCATATATTTGCAAAATTATAGATATAATAATAAAGAGTGAAGTTTATAGTTACGATGTATGTTTAAATTATAGTACATACGTAGTTACCCCTGTACTCCGATTTTTTATTTTTGGACTGTCCTCACCGTCGTCATTCGAAGTGACATTGTTTTGTTGTTTTGGATTTACTTCAGCTGAAAGTCATGTAAACTAAATTACTACTCTACAATGAAACAATAAGGACGTTTCTGAAAGATTTAATTACAATTCATTTTAAGTACAAATAAACCATCATTATTAAATAATATTTTAATAGCCCTTGATATTAGTGTAGCCGTCACCAATTATTTAGTCGACGTATTTATTAATAACCATTTTTAATCCAGATTCTCGCAATTAAAAGTATAAATCCACATTAATTATTAGTACGTTTATATTTATATCTTCTTTAATACAGATATATGAATGTATGTCAGTTTGTTTAAAAAGAATCACAATAAATGAAAATATTGTACACTATACTTAAAATGTATAATATTTATGTAATTTTTATTTCTGAATAAGTTGATACAAATACATAGAGTGAAATCTATGATTAATGTTATACTTCATATCATTCTATAAAATTTATATAATAGGTAAATTTGCGATAACAAAGGATAACTAAATCACAGAAAAACTGATCGACTACATTTGTAAATCATCCTATTTTTAGTAGCAAAATGTGGAGACACATTTCTAATTTTCGTATTATGAATGAAAATGTATTCCTTCATATTGTGGTAACTGATATGATGAGAGTCATACCTCTATACATGTTAAATAAATAAGCAGTGCAATATGTTCATTAACCAAGTCGCCTCGTTCGTATGAACAGAAGTTTGATGGAGGAGCACAGAAAATACAACGATTTTATACTGAGTTACTAGAGGAATGTTGCTTTAGTTTTCTGATAGTCTTCTTTTACCCTGAGGTAGGAGAAAAGTATCACTACCTTTCAGCATTGTAACTGAGAGGCGAGGACTTAGGCGCACAGCGCCAGGTGGGTCTGTTGGAAGAACTGGAGTTCCATGATACTTCAAACCACGTTGACCAGCTACAGATACTCTTACAGCTGCCTCCGGAAGAGGACCCAACTGAGTCTTGTTAATGAGTGTTCTTGTAGCTAAATTGACAGACCCCCGGAATCTCTTATAATGCTATATCAGTTGGTAGTATACAGAAATGAAAGAAAATCGTAGTTGGGCAAATAGCCGCCTAAGCCTTTTTTACTAAAGGTGCACGAGAACCCGATGGTCGGGACGAGTCGGGAAGAGGTCGAATCGGATTCCCAATATTTCGGGTGCTCGCACACCCCTAGTAAAAAGACTAGGGTTAATACTTCTATCAATACCCCAAAGATGTTAGAATTATTTCGCAAAATATTATTGAAAAAGTTATCAAAATTAATTCCTAATTTGAAAGGATAACATCACATTAACAACTCAAGTTAGAATGGGATATTACTTGGTGTGGTTCCATTTATAAACGCAAGTAGCGAATACTCTTGACTACTTCAATTTTGATTTATACTTTTGTGAAAATATGGTTGAGAAAACATGAAATAAAATAAAGTAAAATTAGAAAGATACATATAACATTGTAACTTACATTGCTGAGCAACATTCATTTTCTTCTCTGGAGTTTTATTGCAGGTAAGTTTGAGCTTATCAAGTTCATCCTTCAGCTACAAAAGAAAATTGATATTATTAGACAAATTTATCTATCAAACTATATAAAACAGAAATATATTTTTGTAGTGAAATATATACCTGATCTATTTCATCCTGCAACTTTTTATTTTCATCTTGCTTTACATCTAACTGTGTATTAAAAGTGTCTTTTTCCAGTCTTAAGGTTTTTAATGTTGCAGTTTTGGTAGCATCTAATTTATTCAATGAATCCAATTCACTTTTGCACATAGTAACAGAATCTTCTAATTCTTCATTCTTCTTCTTCAGATCTGTTTGTTGATCTAAACGTACGTGCAGGGATGCTAATTCATCCTCTGCATTTTTATACCTCTGCTGTAGGTTTCCACGTAACGTGACACATTGATCTCTTTCTTCGGCACTAAAAAAGAAGTGTTTCAAATTATTTTACTATGATCCTTTAACTTGAATTTCTAGAGATACAGTGAATAAATAATTGCGGCCAGTGTTCCTTCATCCTGCACAAATGTTAATATCATATACCATGATACATATGAACATAATTACCAGAATAAAAATCACTTTCAGTTGGGGCATGTTTGATGAACATTTTGCAAACTTCAAGATAATGGAATCTGTCACATATTGTATAAGCGGTATCGTCGTAAAAGTAAGAAAGACTAATACGTAAAATGTATTACGTTATTGTTTACATTGAAATAAACGACGTATAATATAAAAAAATATTACGATATAGCATAATAATACCTGATTTTAAGTTGTTCGTTCAATTCGTCAATTTGTCTAACTAGTTCGATATTTTCCGTGGATAAGGTCCACCAGTTGCAAATCAACATTAAACAAGCGACAAGAAGTCCTCCGACAAGGAGGGGAGGACATCGTCCTCCTCCGACTCTCATACTGTCAATTCCCATTCCTTATTTATTGTATCCTGTATTTATCAGATGCACATGTGTTTCGTTGTTTTGCACGTGTAATGAAAAATCGATTCTTGCTCCGTGTCACTCGTATTCTAATTGAAGAAAAAAAGCACCGAAGCGATAACGTAATTTTATCAACTGTAACGGTTCATTACTGGCGATTAACTCGAACGAATGAAAAGAACAGCACTCGGTTTCAGCCTTCTTCCAGGAAGCAGCTTCCTTTTGAAACAACCTTCGCGCTACTTCAACGAAAGAAAACGTGCATAACGTGTCGTGGGCGTATTCTGATACACACTACCGGTACTGACAGCTGTGTAAATACATTTTATCACGATAAATACGAAGCCACGGCACGTATCAACGGGTCGGGATCCTTAACGCGTACCAAATTATTTCGATTATTTATTAGTAATTGCGACATTAGCGTTAAAACGGTTTAAAAATCAATGCGGTGCATTCCTCGCGCTGGGATAACTGACAGTGACTACTGGTGTCGACTAACCACGGCATTCACACACACGCATTAGACGCATATACATATAGACATAACCTGATAGGACTGCATGTACACATTTTACACGCGTATGTAGGCACATATTCATTAACGAGTTGACAGCACTGATCTTTATGTACAGAGTATATAGAGATCAGTGGTTGACAGACCATCGGGTACATACACAGACAGTAGGTACGGCTCCTACAGGGCACTGTTTTATCTTTATCCTTATACTTGAAAATTTATAAAGCTCTTGCGGTGTCGTCTTGCATCCGGCAGTGGGAAGATTCACTTGCTACTCCGTTAACGTATCGCGATGCATTATTGTCTCGTGAATTACGTGCGATAATATTTTGCAGGTTCTGAGCACCTTCAATACCGAATACAACAGATACAACATGCATCTTTAAACAGTAATAATATTAACGTTAATCTTTTATATTAACGACATTACGCGTACTGTTTTGACTCGAACACTCGAAGGGAATATTTTTTAACCTGACAGTGACAAATGAGCGGAAAATAAATACGATTTATAACGTAACTTTTTTTCTAGAATGATTCGTACGTAGTCGAAACATGAATTTTCATAAATTGTCCAAGTTAACAAATCTGACAAAACATGCCGTAATCGAGAGTACGGGGAAACGCTTATGAAGAAATGCATACGTACAAAAGTCACATTTATTCTGTTCTCTTTATTATATATAATATATATTTACTTAACACTGTACCATTGAAGAGAATTCATAGCTGAATAGAGTGAAAAGTATCGTGATCACGTTTTGAACCAAAACGACAAGAGACATGTACTTGGAAACTCGACGTTCAATTCATCGTGACACGATTTACCGAAAGATGACTGGTTCAAGAAACATCGAAACTCTTTTCAACTAATTCATTATAACGAGTAACATAAAAAGAGACCTACAGGCGTGCGGGTCGCAAGGTAATTTCGTCGTATACAGTTCTCAAGTTTGTTCGCTTACGATTTAAAAAAAAAAAAAAAAAAAGAACATAACATTTTTACGTAACATCGCGTGCAATCAATTCGATGAATTCTTTTGGTAATGTCTACAACTGAAAATGGTTCGTAACGTTTCTATTGTCTGCGCCAAACAAATTTCTAATGTACAATTTAAAATAAAATAAAATAAAATCATTCGTGAATCGCAATATCGGTGTAACTGAATACGCATGAAGCACGATATTGGTCTTCCCTTACGCTCTTTTTTAAACGTCAAATTGACATTGATCATAAACGAACGCCCCATCGTGTATGCAAAAATTATTATCGACATCGTTACGGTTTTATCTCTTACGTGCAGCGAAATTGTCTGCGCGCGAACGAAAATAAAATATATGAGAAATTTAATATACGTGTGTGCTCCCAGCATCTGTCGGCACCCGGCATCATTGTCATGCGAGACATGTTTTGTCCTGAATGTCGATCATCCACTTTTACTTCCTAAATCTGGTTACGCTGATGTTCGCCAACGATACGTAACATTTGAGCTAGACGTCGAAAAATAATCTATCGTTGCAAACGTCGTACCTTGGTGTTTCGCAACTCGTATGTATTTACATCCATACATACTGTACACGGAACACGTCCCACCTAACTTTATCGTTTTAAATGATCGACGGCCGTGCTTGTTCTGAAAAAAAACTGGTACCATCGACCAACCGAAACAGCTGTTTATTTCAGATAAGGAACGAAAGCCAACCACGTATACCTTGCCAACTTTTTTTCACGCAACTTCGTGCCTTCGTCTTTACCGCTATAATTCGTTAACGCGTATCGTTACGATAAGCTATAAAAAAAAAACATAATTACATAACCTTGCGTAATTTTGTACAATGCAAACAATGTAACGAAAAAATCAGGTGGAACATGTAGTATTAACATCGAGATGCGTAGAAACGTTTCATTTTTCGCAAAAAGATATTCGATCAGAGGTACACAGTTTTCTTTACGAGACTATCGTCGAAAAATCGGTAACTTCTCGGCATCTCTTTCATATCTGAAGTTCGCATCTTCCTTCTTTCTCTCTTTCTATATATATAGTCATAAATGGGTTTTCGTAAAGGGGAAAGAAAATCTCGAAGGTACCGTTTTTCTATAATATAGATACATCCGTACTGACTACTATGAGTAATTTTATGTCGATTTTTGCGTACATGAATATTGTCTTTTCAATCTGTTCATTACTTTCTGGGTCGATATGGTGTTTCTTTTTTTTTCGCGGGATCACTGTGTTTTTGTTCTTTCGGTAAGGTTTGAAAGTTTTTCTTTTTTACTCGTTTCTATTCCGCTACGACAGATCGATACATCTCATTGATCGGAAATGCGTGTAGAATTGTACACAGAAATTCATGTTTTCTTTCGTTCGTTCTCCGTTTTGTTTTGTTTTTTTTATTATTCTCTCGCAATTACGAAGCTGCGCCTTTTCAACAGCAACTGAAACTCTTCTCTGCGATCCACGGTTAACTAAATCGTATCTGACAATCAGATCTCGACGTGTGTCGGACGTCCAATGATGTCTAAAACGCAATAGGAAAATATTGCACTAATCAGCTCGGAAATTAACCTGCATGTCTCGCGTCGATGCAAAGCAATCGGATATCAGAACGTTGAATGTTCTTGATGACTTCTTAACGTGTATATAAGACAGTCTGAACAAACACGATCGAACAATGGTATTACTCGATGAAATGAATATTTAATACTCGTTTAAATCGCGCGTCGTTATCTTTTTCGTTTACTTAAATCGCAGACCCTATAAAAGTACGTTGTTTATCTCCCCCGAAATAATAAATGTTACAAAATGTGCGACACGGTTTTTAAAAAAGTACATAATTTGTTCTATGTGCAGGCGTTTTGATTATCAGCGATAATTGTTTCACAACGATGTACCAACGCAAAATTTGTTGTACAAAATTCGAATCTGTAAATGTTTGTTCGATCTCTCTTAAACGATACCGGGTCTGCGATCAGGCACACTAATTTTGTAAATGTAGTTTTAAACATTTGAGAATATCTAACACGTTTCAAATGATTTATTTACAAAATTCGGTAAATCTTCAGAAGATATGTACGAGAAGTCGTTCCGATTCGTTACATTTTAAATCATAGTCAGTTTCCAAAATTGTATCATTGAATCATTCTTCTCGTACGCACCGTCTCAATTTTACCTAATAATATTTTAGTACCTTATTGGAAAGGATCAATTACACACGAATCTTTATTTTTATTACTAAAAAACAGTTTTAAAATTGCTCGCAGTGACACGTATACCGAGAACGTGAAATTTCGTCGAAAAATACAAATGTATATTATTCAGTAATCATTGCAGGTTGAGTGCAGTGCAATATGATCCGTATTTCTTTTTTTTGCGTAAACACGCCATATTTGCAAAGAGGCTTCGCCGCTGATGCGAGACTCTCGCAGACCATTTATCGCGGCATTTGTTTCTTTTTTTTTTTTTTAATTCCTCTAATGCGTATAATTCGCTTTTTATACGTTTCGTATTTCACGTACGTTCATGCAAATTGCAATCATACTAAAGTTGTTTTTATGTTCTAATCACGTAGAAAAAGAGTCTATAGTAAAATCGTGGTCCGATGTTGCCGTTTACTTTTTTTCCAATGCTTCATGACTGAACGCGGTTTTGCAACTTAAAATGTACACATACCAATCTCCATCGATCCGTTCGAACATAGCTCATACGTTAAGAGAACAAAAGAATATACTGCAATCGTCTGAGACTATGGTTTCTTAATTGTTAAACTCTTTTGCCTCGTATACTACGGTAAAGCAAACTAAGAAAAAAACATAACTCGTTTGTGTTCGTGTGATATTTGCTTTCGTTACTGCCAAGAGGTATCGATCAACAGAAAGGCAACACGCGTAAACGTAGACAAGTGTAAAAAGAGCAGAGAGATGAAATATTTTACAGGCTTGCTTTATGATAGAAATACTTTAAAAGTGTTTTATACACTCGTTACATTGTCCTAGCAATTCTTCTCAATTAATATAGTAACATTGTACATGTAATTCCTCTTTAAATCGACTAATAATGATTAAACAACCAAAACTTCCTATACTAAAATTAACAAGAACCTAAACAGCACGAATGTATCAAGAAGTTTCTTTTATTCAATACCAAATTACCCAAAGCAATTAATCTCATTGTAAGTTGTCAAGCATACAACAGACAGATTATGACACTGTTATTTGAATGGTAAAAAATGAAATTATATACGATTTTTGTTTAGTAATTTTAGTATAGTTACAGTTTTAAAGATGTATGTATCTACAGCTTAAGTACAGATCCTTATTATAAATGTCACTATAGCGAAATAACGAGTATTTCATGTATGATTTTTTTTTTTCTATATTTATTCATAGCTTCCTTTCAATATATTTGGATATTCCATGGAAAGTATAAATGCATTAAGAGTTACTTTACAAAGAACAAAATCATAGTACCACATACACGTACATGTCAAAATATTTTATCTGCACAGTGTTTATGATAATTATGAACTAATATTCCAGTATGGTCTAGTGTCATCTCCTGTCAACAAAATTTACAAATCAAAGTGAAAGAACTAATAACTTTCTATAAATTAGTCGTACAAATATCCTCGATAACAAGCAGAACATACGTAGCATCGTTTTTTTAAAAAATATTTTAGTTTTCCATCGACATTGAATGCGAATCATATTTTGAATTTACATAGAAATTATATCGCGTCCTAAATTAATACAAAGTTATTAGTTCTCAAGGTCGTTTACTTTGTTTTCAACACACTTTGAATTCCAGTTCATAAGGTATTGTTAATGTAAAATTTAGCGTAAATATTAAGCGTTTAAAACGCTGTGTTAATGCTTAAGCTACAAGCAAATAACAAAACGGGTGTATTGATAATCTAAAAGTAAAATGTGCGCTTAAATTATTGCAATGTCAACATAGCCCCAAGCTACCGAGACAGCTTTTGCAATTTGTTGGCTTTTCCAATCTCGGTTTAAAAAGCTTCCTAAATGTTTTAATTAAAATATATTATGCTCCAGACAACTAAGGATGTATATCGTTCCATAATGCATTACCGCGTGACTGTATTACTTTTTTTTTTTATATAAATTTTTTTCCTCTATGCTAATTAGACTTAGCATCTTAAAAGTTTAACTTTATATTAGATATAATATATTATAATAATACACTATTCAAATAATTATTTCGTTGCCATCTAAAAATATTCTTAACTTTCTTCAAATATTTTATTCCCTAAAATATCAACGCCTTTGAAATCAAATTATAATTTTCAAGAACAATATGTGCATTTCTACTAAATCAATTTCGTTTTTTTTTATACAAAATATCTCTGCATCGTTATTGAAAGCAACAACAAAATCGCAAAGGTAAATTTGTATCGCATCTGTTTGAAAAACCTTTTTAATACGTGCTCCTTTCTCTCATTGATTCCATGCTTTCCTTGCAATTGGCAGTAACAAAAGTAACCAGAGTAAAGTGTAGCACCGATGTTCTATACAGAAAAGGATGGTGTGATCAAAACTTCTGTTCCATACACTTGCATCGTATTACAAATTTTTAGAGGAAATTTTAGACAAAGTTCTGAGAAGATACAGTATTTCCAATTACAATATTTACAATAAATATTTGAATGTAATAGGAAGTTTCCCGATTTTCAAAACGTTAGACACTCTATACGCATATATATATATATCCCAGTAACGATGAAAAAATTTTCAAAGTACGAATTAACTAAAATAACTTTGAACGAAGCTTTTATCAGGAGCTCCATATAAATCAACTAAAAAATTCCGTTTCACCGTTTCGTTTCGATCAGTAGTTATATTCAATCTTTGTATTAGAAAATAAAAGTGAAGGTGGTCAATATTTGGGCGAAACTATTTGCCATGAGAAATGATGCAAGTGTAGCCATCATCGATATGTTACCACATTCATAGAAAGCACTGTAAACATGAAAAAACTTTGTTTAACTCCAAAATAACCACCTTGCCATTTATTAACAGTACTCGTGTTATCTTTACAGAAAAATGTCGCGCATTCGCGAAGGAATAGGAGAATAACGGTGAGTCAGAAAACGCGGTACAGAAAGACCTTGTATTCGTATAGAACACTTAAAATACTTTTTAACCCTTATGTTTATACCTCAATCTAGCTATGGACACCTCTTCCATCGTTCTTTATCGTGCATTCATTTCTTTCATTTACTCGCATATCACGTCGCTTACTCAACAATACACTGTTTCATTATCGTTGTTAGGCGTGTGTACCAGCGGAAATTAAATAATGAGTAGCGCTGTTTGGATAGTTGGGCTGTAAGAGGCCAAGGGAAAACAGGCTCACGAAAAATTATCACTTGGTGTTTCTGGTTTCACCTTCTTCTGTGGGGAGCTTGCTTGTGAGCGTATATCTGTACCAGGTCTCTTCACCTGAGGGTTGCTCTTCACAGCAGTGGTTGGATCTGCTGATAAAAGATAGCTTAACTATCGATACCTCAATATAATTAACTGTTTGATTATTACCACCAAAGGCGATACAATTTTACTACGACGATACAAATATATTTTATAGAATGTTAATTGTATCTACATCTGCCGTGATTAAGAAAACTCTAAACTAACCTTGTAACCACCTGACTTGCGTCGCTGGTCCATATCCTTTATCGTTTCGTGCTGCTATTCTAAATATTATGGCCGGTTTTGTAGTAGTGTCAACGTGAGCGGCACTAAGGGAACTATTAGTCACCGAACAGGAATTATTTGAACCGCAATAGACTCTAATAAAAGCTAACTGATTTGGAGTCGATAGAATAGTCCTCGGTTCTCCATCATTATTCAACGCAGTACTAGCACTCCGCACTGCTAAATAGACAGAATACTCCAGAATAGGTCCAACGTTGCTGGATGGCGGTTCCCAAGATATTTGAGCACCCTCTGCAGATTTGGAAATTTTGATAGCACTAGGTGCTCCGGGATAACCCGGAAGACACGTTTTGAATGCAGACACCTTAAAATTAAATAAAACCGTTTATATCGCGTTGAACATTCTGATTTTTTATGGAATCATTTCGTTAGATTCTTAATAAGGTCACTTACCTCGCTCCAAGCACTTCTTCCACAACTATTCACAGCGGCAACTCTAAACTTATAAGCAGTTCCAGGTTCTAAGGCAATCTTGCTTCTCCCTTTGAAAATATCCATAGTCAGTGGTTGCGTTATATCTAACGGCTCATCACCAGGTAAATAATAGTGTTGTACGGTAAAGCTTGTTCCTTTTATTACACCCACGTCGTACCATTCTACCTCCTTCTTTTCGTCGTCGTTCTATAGAAAAACGTTAAAGAAAAAATACATTATATAAAAATATTCAAATATAAACAAAGACATAAGAATATATCGTTTTACCTGTTCCATTTTTACTTTCATTGGTTGTTCCGCTGAACCTAAGGCAGCTGTAGCTAATGTAGTTAATGCGGTAGAATCATCTCCACTCTCCGCTCTACTATCGTTCATTTTGTCTTGTTTTAAACTTTCCTTTTTAACAGGCTCCTCTTTCAATTCCACTTTTATCGGAGTCATTGGTTTTTGAATATCCAGCTCTTTTTCAAGCGGTGCAACACCGTTCATGGATGACGTCGGTGGTTCAGGAATTTTCTCTTGTTCCATCGGCTCGTCGGAGTGGTCTGCTTTCGCTTGCATGTCAGGGGTGATGATGGGTGTGGTTATTGGCATATTTACATCGGTAGAAGGTAAGGAAGTGTCTGTAATCATAGGTTCGTCAGTGTCTTCCAATTTCTCCACTGAAGAACTTTCTTCAGGCAGGTCCATCGCTGGCTCGACGGCGTCATCCTTTTCCTTTTCAGCGTCTTGACTGTCTTCCTGAGAAAGTTGCGATATACTATCTTCGGGTGATAAATGTTCAGCAGCGGGTGACTTCTCATGATCAGAATTATATGTATCCATAGGCGTATCTTTTATATCGTTATTTTCAATTTGTTCAGTTTCATTTTCTAGCGGCTCCGTTGCGTCCGGCATTGACGCTTCTTCCGACGGAGCTTCCACAGGTTCTTGTATGCCAGAAACTTCAGGTTTAGGTAGAGCTTCCTCGGACGATGGATTGGTTACAATTTGCATATCGTTTTCACTCGTTGGTTCCGGCTCGTTGGTAGTTTCCATAGGTATTTCACTTTCATCCGGCTGAGAATCGACAGAAGGTTCTGGTTCTAGTGGAATTTCTTCTGCGGTGCTCGTTGAAACGGGAGGATCAGAAACTGCTTCCGAAGAAGTTTCCGGCTCTTTTGGGGTACTCTCTTCTATATGAACGTCCTCTGTGATCGCAGCACCAATATCTTCCTCCATATTCGCAGACTCTACAGCTGCCGGTTCTTCTTGATTTTCTGGCGCCGGATCTTCTTCCAAATCAATTTTATCGTTTTCCTCGTCCTCGGACAAAAGAATATCTGCTGGACCATCAACCTGAGGAATCACAAAATTCCCATCCCCGTCGACTTGCATAGGTTCACCGGCTCCCATCTGAGAAACCAAAGCAGCCGCTGTGGTGGCCTCATTTCCGTTACAACTATCTTCCACTTTCCCATCTCCTGCTCCATCGTCCGCAGCCACCATGAAAGATAAACCTCCAGACGGTTCCTGAACTGGATCTATCAAACCTGCTTCTGCAGCTAATGCAGCCAATGCTGCATCCGTCGTAGCAGGACCATCGGAAGTGGATGCTAATGAAGCCGATGGTTGCTTTTGCGATGGAACAAATAACATTTTACTTGTGTCTATCGCATCCGATGTACTCGAAGTAGTTACTATCGAACTGCTTGTAGGCATGAGCGTAACTGTTTTTGCACCTATTCCACCAGACATCTGCAACGTCACGGGTTTACCGGACACTGTTACAGACTCTGGTGTTTTTTGCATTTGTGGCATAGTAACGATCTGACTCTTTCCGGGATTGAAGATGGCTTGTGGATTTCCCTTGGTTGCAATAGTCACCGTCTTTGGTACGCCGCCCTGGCCTGGAACCGTGATGGTGATAGGCTTTCCTGCAGTTCCACCTCCCATTGCTCCAGAAGAAACAACGATCATCTTTACTCCTTGTTGATTTGTCACATGGTTAGTAGCGGACAGGGGTAAAACATTGACGGGTGTGGTGATGTTGCCCGCTTGCCCGCTACCGGCTTGAGAGGTAGTGACAGCTTGTACAGCTCTCAAACCAGAGCCCGTTGTCACGACGATTATTTGATTACGGCCAACCAACCCGCCATTGCCTCCGGGTTTAGTGATCATTATCGTTTGCTTGCCGCTGATGTTTTGACCTTTGCTCATGGCAACGATACTAGACGTTTTCATGGTAGTGAGAATTTTAGATCCTGCTACGGTATTAGGATTGACTAATCTTAATATCGTCGGCCCCTGGTTAAGGGGTTTCGCACCTGTTGCCTGAACCGTTTTGCCGGGAATGAGGCTGACTTTAGGCACAGTCGCTACCATTCCCTGGCCGGTTTTAAGAAGATGTACAATTTGAGGCTGACCGGATATATTCTGACCCGGTTTCTGAAGGATAATTTGTTTACTCTGTTGTGGAGAAGCAGTTCTCAGCACTGTTGCGCCGGGTGCAGCGAAACGTATTTGCTGACCAGGCTGAACGTTCTTCATTCTAATCGTATTGGCGGTAGTTTGTGGAAGGATTGGTACGTTATTCATACTTATTTTAGGAGTAGCGGCAGCCGCTGCAGCTAGGGCAGCAATTCCTGACATAGCAGCTGGCGTTTGACCTGCCACTGTAGTGTTAGGGGGTGTAGGTGGTTCGGTAGTTACCGGTGCTGAAGTAACGATCGGGGAACGAATTCTGATAAGGTTTCCAGCTACTCTCGGTGTCATCGGACTCGCTGGTTTTGTTACGGCTTGCGACGATACCGGTTTTTGTATTGGGCTCTGTACAGTCGACTGTATTCGTACAGGAGTCTGTGCTAGGGTTGGTCTGGCAGAAGTTGTAGTTGATGGAAGAGCAGCAACGGTTGTAATGGGCGGAGATGTTACAGGGACAGTTGCAGGCGTAACCACTGCCGGGGTAGTGGTGGGTGCGGTGCTGGTCTGTGTGCTAACTGTAGGAAATGTGCCAGTTGTTGCGGGAGGCATATCGTATTTCTGAATTTGTAGTATGTAGTATTGCGCGGACGGCGTTGCTGTCCAACTGACTTCCAGCGTTTGCGTAGAAGCCCTTACTAATTGCACCCTGGACGGTGCAGGTGGTTTACTGACTTCGAGGTACCATAAATCTTTGCAGCAAACCTGAAGACAAGTTACATCATACTGCATTATGGATGAAACTATTCTCATAATGAAAACTAATTATAAGAACTAACCCTAACCTGATTGTTCCAAGCTTTACGGTATCCATCTCGACCAGACCACACATACAGTCTACTATGCACTCCAACTGCACAGTGACCAGCACGAGCACGAGGAACATTTTCTTCCAGAGAATCGACTGTCAATTGCTCCCACGTTAACGTTTCTGAAATAAGATGAAGATTCTTCTCTTAAACGCGATTAACATATAATATATCCAAAAAGTTCATTCGATTTTAATACTAACTTACCTAAATTTAAACAAGCCAATGTACTTGTACACTTCCATTCTTTTTCGTGAGTTGCAACTTTAACATCATCGACGACAAGCGGTACCCATCCTCCGAATACGTACATTCGATGACCAATTAAGGTGGCAGTGTGGAGAGACCGTGGTAAAGGAGTAGGTCCATGGACTACTGGTTTGTTCCAGGTCATCGAATCAACATCAAGAAACCATAAATCACCCAGACGACAGCCGCTCATACCACCATAAATGACCAGACAGGATTTCCCGGTGTTGCGATCGGTGTAAGCCACCCCGGTATGCGACTCCCTGGGTGGTGGTGCATGTCCGTGCGTTTGCGGTACATCCCAGGCCGTTGCTCCATTAGGAAGTAATTCAAGAGTATACAGATCATTTAAATATCTTGGGATATTGTTTTTGGGATCGTCGCTATCGTTAGCCAAACCTCCGAAAAGGAAAACCCTGTTACCAATCAGGGTAAAGCTATGTCCCAGTCGTGGACATGGCGGAGGATCATGTTTTGGTGGCTTTGGTTTTAATCTCTTCCATTCCCATCTGCTTGCTTGAAGTTCATAAAGTTCGTTCGAGTACTTTCCATATTCTACCATACCACCGAAAACCAAAATTCGGGTTCCATCAACAACAAATCCATATGCTGCACAGCCAGGTGGAATATCACCTTTTGTTGATGGTACAAACCATTGATTCGTTGCTGCAAAAAATATATACAAATTTAATATAAAAAAAAAATGATCAATTATTATTTTCAACTTCAATTAATATGTGTAATACATAAACAAATCAAAACGGTAAACATAAGGTTCTAATTTTAATTTAAAAGAAATATAAAATTCACGAAGTATCGTATCTAACGATTTAATTTATAATGATTTGTTAATATTATTTATATTTTTAATAGTAGTATTTTATTAGGAACAAGTTTATTAACATGCATCGTGATATTTATTACGTTTATACAATAAGTTGTATACGTAACATGTATAATGTAATTCGGGAAAAGATTTCAAAATTGAACATAAAGTGCGCGCCTAGATACGCACGCGCGTAACAGTAAACGTAGCAAAAGAGAGAGATGCCGTGCGCATCCGTGATAAAGAAGGGATGTGAAAACGTAAAATGAAAGAGTGGGAGGAGAAATAGGAACGGAAGGAAAAAAGAGAAGGAAAGGCGAAGCGTGAACGTGGAATGACGGGAAACGCAGCGCGTTGCATATCAGTGGTGGGGCGTACAGGACAGCAATGGCCGCTCCCGCGCGTATAAACATGAAAAATGACAGACCGCGCCAATTCTACCAATGAAACTACCATGATCCTCGTCAAATAAAATTCAGAAAAACACGTACAAATTGGGTATACTCGAAATAAATAGAATACATCGTCATAAGGCATCTGACATGAACATAATTCGTGTTTCTACGGTGATCCGGCCGGTGACCGTCTTGTCAACGTATGCCGCCATCTTGGATCGCGGGAATCATCAAGAACGGCGCGCACGAAAGACGCACAGCAGCGATGCAACTTACCCGTGTTATAGACATGAAGCTCGTCAACAATGCCCTCGTTTCCACCGCCGAAAACAACCATAAGGTCTTTAATAGCAACTGCCCTATGCCCATGCCTGGGTCTAGGCTGGGGCCCGGTCGGATTTGTGATCCGCTTCCACTTTAGCATGGGTGCCGCCATGATGACCGTCGATCACATCATTTTTTCATACCCGCGCGACTATGCACCACCGAGTTACCCCTAGAGCAGTAGGACGCCCGATGGTTTCGAAGATAGTGCGCCCTTCCTTATCTTCAAACTTCGGTAACTTCGATATTCGCGAATCGTATTCCCCCCAAGTTGAATGAATTCGAAAGTTCGCACACTCGTCGAAAACTTACTACTCTAGATGTTCTTAGTACCGTCGATATCGTACGTCTCGATTCTAACCTCCCTTTATCTGTCGTATTTCACGGATCGTCTTTTCGATAAAGTCTTAACCAATAGTTCGGGCAAACTTAAAGCCAAACGAATAATTTTTAAGAAAAGTCCTAAATTACAAAAATTCTATACGATTTAGTAGACGTCTGTAATGCAACACGTACACAGAGACGCACACCGTATATTTACGTTCACGATGTTTACGGCACTGGTCTCACGTCTTCTAGTGTGCCCGCTCAGCGATCACCAATGGCCCGGCTGTGTATATATTTTTCACGTTGCACAATCATCGTTGCAGTCAAATAACGGTCGTGATCGTATATTTCACTGGAGGTTAATCTTTCGACATTTCTCGCGATTGCTTTAAAACGAGAAGAGCCTCACGTCCCTTTTGAAACTTCCGTCAAACGGGCGAAAAACGGCGCGATAAAAGATTTCACTATGCACTGATAACCACTGTACAAATTACATGGATTGTAATGTATAGGCGGGTCAGGCAAAAGTGGCGAACATACAACAAGAGGTTTGTAGTACTTGCCGAAAAAAACTATTGCAATCAGTAGTTTGACGGCACGCACAAGCGGCCTCCGCAATCTTCGTCCGCCATTGCCCACAACTTGCGTCGGTAACAACCGCATATGTTACCAACTCATCTTAGTCTGGGGATTTTTAGAAGTTTGTTCGATAAAATGCTTATTTCCATGTTTAAAACTAAATTTTTGATGAGAACGTCCTAAATACGATCGCAAGATCTTGCTGAACTCCCTTGTATGGTACGCATCTGTCTATTACATTATCAGTGACTGAGTTAAATCGTAGAGAATTTTATTTTAACTAAAATTTGTAGTGTAATTATTTAATAATTATCATTTATAGGTAGGTAAAATTATTCTATATATAAAATATAATTTTATCCACGATTATAACATAATAATTTGTATTGCAGTGTGCTAATACTAATCTTTGGCCAGAATAATGTGTGAACTCGACGGACCAATAAGATTTCGAATATATCATCGTCTACCGTTAACATCGTTTCTATCGTCTTTGTGAGTTATAATGAAATATGCAATATTTTTATTTAAACAATTATTCACGATGAAATTATAACTGCTTTTATCTAATATAGTCAACGTCTATTAAAAACAATTCAAAAACTTTTCAAATAGAGTTACATTTCCTTGTGCTGCGTTTTTGAAAGTTTTGAATTTTGGAGGGAATTTCTCTAGTTGAAGAAAACTTTTTATTCAGTAGATTTTAGTTATATGAGTATAAAAGTTACATTAACTTCACAACATTCTCGATTTTACATTCAAATTTAAACGGGACGAACGGTTTGTAAAAGCTCGCGTTTCCGATGTTTTATCTTGTTGAAATATGTCGTCATGGTATCGTCGTATCGTTATCCAATCAAACACACCCAATATGTGTTATCTATTGTTTATTTTGTAATAATTCGACAATAACCGTTTCTAATTAATTTGAATCATTCTATATTTAATAATGCTAAATTTGTCCGAAATACGTAACGAAAAGAATATTATACATAGTCGCTTGAAAATAATATTTATTAAATATGCACACGATAAATTATACAAATCAGAGATATTTGAAACAAGTATACAAAATTCTATTAAAATCATACATAATCTACTGAAGTTTAATTTGTTAAAACACTATATTTTTAAAATATATTTTGTATTGTTTTAATATGAATTCATAATAACAATACGGATGTGGTACAAAATTGCTCTTCTTTTCTTCGGAAAATCACTGAAGGAAACATGTTTGTAAGATTTAGTAATATGTTTATGTTTCATGATATTTACAATACTTTGTTGGAATGACAGAATACCTTTTACAACTAACATAGTTAACAAATAGCAAAATTGAGATACTGTGTTAACATAAAATGCATTGCAGTTTTTTAGATGATCATGAGATTATCATTGCTAGGTACATTAATGGAAAAATATAGCAAAAAATTATCGGAATTGTATAGGACTTATCCTCAGACCAATACACTCTTTACCAATTAATGCAACTTCGCAGACTTTACACACTGTATCTTTAAACTGTGGTAAATAACTTGCACCGCATAACGGGCATTTGACTTCCGGTTTGCCTCTGTAGATCGGAACAAACGTGCTTGCACACAACGAGAACGGATTATGTTCGTCGTACGCTAATTGATGCTCATCTACTGGGTTTTTATCGCATGCCTAAGAAAGAAAAATTAAATAAAATATTACGTTATATTTACGTATGCTAACGAGTACATACGACGAAACACATACCTGTAAAATTTTCCTAACTTGTTGTGCTAATTCTGGTTTAGGTCCTAACTCAAGTAATCTCCTCGCAAAGGAAGCAGCAGTTTTATAATTCTTCAATTTGAAGAACATATTTACAGCTATCCTTAAAGTGAGAATTTGATGAACTGGTTGCAAATTGCAATGTGTAAAGTAGGCTGCCATTTCGCAGATTCGTTTTTGTTCAGATAGAGTAGCTTTAGGAAGATTCTTCCTGTCAGTCTCCATCTTCAAACCTAGGATATACTCTCTGCAAATTTGAATTAGCTGTTGTGCTTCAGCAATATCTTGTCTTGTCTCGACTGCTAATAACGGTACACTCAGCAAAATTGCTTGAAACTTTTCTACTGCTTCCGGGAATTTTCCGCCAGTTGTCAAGTGATAGCATACTTGTAGTCTCTGAACTAAATCGGTAAGATGTAACCCAATTGCTGGTAAACCACCTTTGGGATTTGTATCTTTCCAATTTCGCTGAGGATATCCATACAACGAAGGTATATTTGGTAACGTATCGAATGATGTTCGAGCCCGTGCGAAAGTATTCATAAAGAGACTTTGGAAAGCCCCAAATTCAACCACGCCGATTTGATCGTTCAATAATCTAAATGCAGTTTCGAATGATCCAGCTAGTATGTGATCCACGACTAACTGGGAATTATTCATCCAATGTTGCGTTGGTGGTACTCCTTTCGTTGGTGGTGAAAAGTAGCCATCTTCCACTGCAGTTACTGTAGTTTCAAGCTCTGGCGGTAGATCCACTTCTTCAACATCCCATCCAGCGCTCTCTTCACCTTCGGCAGGTTGTTCGATATCGATACCGTCTTCATCGTCAATTCCTAACTCTTCGTCGTTACCCCATCCTTCGGCAGGTACAGTGTTATCATCCTCTGGAGCCAAAGCAGCAGCTACTTGGCTCTTCCCGCGTGATAACATTGCACCCTCGAAGAAACCTTTCGATACTGTTAATAGTGGCCAATTATTTTCGGCTTGTTGAATAGGAACTGGAGGTTGCAGGTATACTGCTCCTTTTTCAAGGGCAGAAAGTTCTTCACTCATGGAACTATACTGGATATCATCTTCTGCAGATGAAATGCCGTGTATCTTCTCTGTTACATAAGCTAAAGATGCTTGGCCGGAATTCTGTAACACAAGATAAAATGAATATTCCCAAAAGAAATAATTAAATCTGCAGTGGAAGATGTCGAATACGTACTCGTAAAATCTTTGCGCGTTCATAAATATCACCAAGTAGCAAACTACCCTGGTATTGTCCAGACACATCTTTTCTAATTTCTGCGATCTTTATCATCTTACGTAACTTCTCCAAGTTGCCAGTTATAAGGTAAAGGAACGATAACTTCTCGAAATTCTTAGTTCTCTGATAACACATCTCCACAACTTGGTGATTACCCTGCAATAAGGCTGCCTGGGCCAAGCTTTCCCAACAGGACTTTTGATCGAGGGATCTCGCGGCTTCTAGAGCGACTTCGATGTTTCCACATTCGAGTGCAAGGCCGAAACGAGTTTTTTCATCTTTGACAAAGTGTAAGGCAACTTCAGGATACCCCTTTTGTTGTAGGTATGCAATGATAGATTGGCCAACGAGATTTGCGTTGCGAACCATGTGTAAAACTTCTTCGTACTTTCTGTTGATTAAAGCTAGTTTGAATTTATATTCTGTCGGATCTATTCGAAGAATCCTCGGCCTACATTCTCTGTCCAGGCAGTAAACTTGATTGCCTTTGACTCTAGTTACGTATATTGGTAGATCTAATGTGCGGATGATACCGTGATCACCGTTGTTTATTGCGTATTTAATATGATTACTGGTAGTGTAAATAAATACTCCAGAATCGTCCCAAGCTCCTGATTTCACTCTAGTGTTCTCGTGTACGGAGCAAAGGGACTCCAATCGACGATTACAAATATTAACGGCATGCTTCGCGAGTAGAGCAACGTGAGACATATCACTCGACCAAACTACATATCTACATTTCGAGATCTTTACTTCTGCTAGTGTTCTCTTCTGCTGAACGTCAAAGAGCGTTACTTGATCAGCATCGCGTAAAAGAAGCATCCCCGTGCCGGCATAAAATATTTCATCGCAATTTGGAATCTGCACCTTTTTCGTAACTTCGTTTTTCAAGTTCTTGATGACTAACTGCAAGAAACATTTAATCAATTAGAATCGTCTTTGAAGCCATTTGAATTTGTTTCCAAATACATACCGAATACGCTCTATCTAATACGGCAAACCGATTTCTAGCAACCCAAATGGCAGTGACACCAGAAGCCCGTTTTGTATCAGCATCGGTATTCGAATCACCCTCGCGAGGTATCATGTATAGATCATAAGTACTGTTTTCTATATTGTTAGGCGATCTTGTACAAATTAAAACAGCGTTTTCAGCTTGGTTGTACGACATGCTATAAGGAGGTGTCTTTCCACCTCCACGTATTTGCATAACAGATGTATCTTTTGAGGTAGTGAAATCTAATTTTCGGAGGAAACGTTCTTTTACGTAATAAAGGACGTTTCCGTACACAGCATACGCTGGTCGTTCTCTCTCGAGTTTGAAAATGATCATTCCAGAATCATGACCAGCAGCAAAGAGATTTAAAGTAGGATGAGCAGCAAGAACCCAAAATCTTTCATGCTCTCTCCTAAACGTGTGTAAGCATGTGCGTTTTGTCATGTCCCAGACGCGGATACTCTTATCTTCTGCATTAGAAAGGATTAGATCTTGTCTAGGGTGGAACAAAACGCAAGAAACGTTGTTGTAATGTCCGCGGCAAGTATCTACCTCCCATGCTTTGGCATCATTCATCCTCCACATTTTAACCTGACGATCATCTGCTCCAGAAACGATCAAAGGTAATGTGGGATGGAAACATGCCCAATTAACACCTCTATCATGCCCTTCAAGGACATGCTTTACCACAGCATCAGCTTGACCAAATAAATCGGTTGCACCAGGATTTTTTAAATGATCTTCCAGGCCTCCTGGCCCAGGAGCAACATTTTTCTTCCTTAAACCAGATATGTCCCATACCCTAACAGTTTGATCTAAAGAAGCTGATACTATAATGTCTTCTGTAGGGTGAAACTGTGCACACATAACATAGTGATTGTGCCCAGTCAAGACACAAATGCAAGTACGACTTTGCCAATTCCAAATACGGATAGTCTGATCATCTGAAGCACTTAGAATCCATGGGTACTCTTGATGGAATACAAGTGTTCTGATATAATCTAAATGACCTAATAGGGTGAAAATGCATCTGCGTTGTTTATAGTTCCATACTTTAATCTTATAGTCATCACCACCAGACACAAATAATGGTTGTTGACTATGGAAACAGATTCCACGAACAGGTCCATCATGTTCATCAAATTTATCTAACAGGGTACACATACGGTAGTCCCATAACTGTATAACTCCATTGTGTAAACTATAACATATAAATTGACATTTTTGTTAAACTGAACAGTTCAATATAAACATAATTGTTTTAAAAATATGAAATATGTAATATTTTTATTTCCTTCCATTACTATTCAGTAAAATATAATAAAAATTCATTTCATGATCATATCATGGAATAAATGTATAATGAATCTTCTGTAAAGAAATTTTCATTCATGCAATATTTTATTTATTTCTTAAATATCAATGAAATATGTGTCGTTTATTGAAGTATATTTGAACAATTTATAATAAAAAATAACGAATGGTGAAAATTCATGCCCTCTACCTTGCAAGAACCCAAGGTCGTTTTGGATGAAAGGATAGCCCTTTTACACGAGCGGATTTTGTTTCAAACTTCGTCAACATTTTTTTCTGGGTGTCAAACAAAATGATGTAATTAAAGAAACATTCCTTACTCCTAACCTTTGAAAATTTGACACGACTGAAGACACGTCACTAATCCTACCATGAAATACAGTATCTTAATAGATGTTCATATGAAGTTTTGTATGGATGCAATACTCCATCTGTACATACAAGATATATCTAATATTTTAATGAGTTTAAAGAAAATTTGCTGAGAAGATAAATAAGAATTATTCACAATACAAAATTGTAACTCGAATTATATAAATTATCGGAATAAGTTATCTTATTTAATTCACAAATTTGATTGTATAATTTTTGGATAGTAGATTTTTTTCTTTTCAAATTGATAGATTAGTTATACGTATTTAGGTTTTAATTAATTATTTTAATAATGACATAGATGCTATAATAATATTGGAAAAAATGAGAAAAAAGTAATTATTATTACAATATAAGGTAAAATTAAATTAGAATGAGAGAATATGTTTCGAATAAGTATTTTATCAGGATATCTATCAGTATGATTATGTGGCACTTTTGAATTGGTTTACTTGCATTCATTCGTCAAACACGCGCATGTCCTTTACAAAACACTTGTTTTGTCGTCTGGTCCTTTACTGTCAATCTAGAAAAGTCTGTGCAACCTGTTCCTTATTTTACATATAATTGAAATATTTAGCACAATAATTAGCACTTTTATGATACATTTTAAAATCAATTACTTAGATCTTTAATATTTTTATATCCCCAAAACGAAGTAAACAGTTTTCTGTCATAGTTTTTGAGTGAATACTGACGTAGAACACTGGCCGGTACATTCGAGTGGAATAATGCAAAAACTCAGTGATATCAACTTTTTTCGGTTGTTAAGTTTGTTTATTTTACTTTATATATTTACTTACGTAAATTGTGATAAAACACCTTCAAACGAAGAACTCAAAGCACTGAAGTTTCCACAGTGTGCAGCTTGTAAGATTTTAATAAATAGTTTTAAGAAGGTATGTTGATTTTTAAAAATATTATATTATAAATATTGGATGTTTCTTAATTTTAAAAAAGATATTTGAATTAGAAATGTGCCAAAATATAACAATTGACTTTTTATACAGGTACTTGTTGCACAATTGTGTAATTCTTCAATGTATTTTCTGCACATCTTTATTGTACAATTTACAGTTAATAATTTCTTTTTTAAACAGGGTATAGAAAGAACTAGTCGTGAAAAATTTGATGGTGGTGATAGTGCATGGGAAGAGGATAAATTAGGTTCATATTCAAAGAGTGAAACTAGATTGATAGAAATACAAGAACATTTATGTAAAGAGGTAGAACATGGTGAAACTCAGTGCCATGCTTTAGCCGAAGAATTAGAAAGCAAAATAGAAGATTGGTGGTTTAATCATCAGCAAACGCATCCAGATTTATATGATTATATATGTATTCAACAGACAGAAAGCTGTTGTCCAAAAGATCATTTTGGTCCACAATGTGTACCATGTCCAGGTTTTCCAAACAAGATTTGTAATAATAATGGTAAATGTAAAGGAGCAGGCACTAGAAAAGGGAATGGTGGATGCCTGTGTGATAAAGGCTATGAAGGAGATAATTGTTCACACTGTGCAAATGGATTTTATGAATCCTATAAAGATGAGAACAAATTACTTTGCTCTCAGTGTCATGCTGCCTGTGATGGTCCTTGTAAAGGAGCAGGGCCAAACAATTGTGAAAAATGTATGAAAGGGTGGTACATGTTGGATGAACAAGGTTGTTTTGATATTGATGAATGTAGTACAAGTGATAAATATTGCCCTGGCAATCAATTTTGTGTTAATAGGGAAGGAGATTACACATGTTTAAGTAAGTTGTAAGAAATATTTTACTTATAATATCTTGCTTATTATTAGGTGTAGAGCAAATAAAGTTTAATACTTTCTTATAGAAAATTTATGTGGTATAACTTAAAAATTAATCATTTTATGTGATTCAGGTTGCGACAAAGCCTGTAATGGTTGTACAGGTGATGGTCCAGATATGTGTATAGAGTGTGCAGAAGGATATCATAAGAAGGATACTTTATGTATAAGTAAGTTTTATAATGTGTTTATGGTACTATTAGTTTGAAGCATGGATGATGATAATACATGTTTTAGTACAGTATGAATTTTCTTATTTTAGATTCTGATATTTTGAGCCGCAAACAACAAGAGAATCTTGCACGGTATGCTACATATTTTGGTCTTTGTGTAGCAACGTGTATTATTTTCCAACGAAATATTTACATAGCAAGTGTAATTGGATTACTAGTTGGTATATACATATCAGTTTCAGAATACATGATAGCTCATAGTAATGTTCAGGATACAACAACAAATGTAGATATACTAGGACCAGCATAAATAGGTATATAGATACTTTACTAAATGTTTAATTATACTAATAAAATTGTAATGAATATTTTAAACAATAAAATATGTATAAGTATAAAGAAGCATTATATGTACACTAGTATGTTAGTTATTTAAAATTATTAAAGGTTTGGGATTTTAAATCCATGGAAAAAATTATCTTGTTGGATTTAAATGTAAGATGCATAAATTCGGTAATAATATACAATAAATTTTAACAATAGAAAAATTGAATATTTCTCTTAATATGAGTCATCTATTAACTTGCATTTTTTGCCACTAGGTGGCTGTAAGGATGGTGGTCTTCTCACATGAGAGTATAGCTTCTGATTCTTTTTAAGCAGCTTTGCTTGCGGTAGTGTATGCAATACTCATGGATCATATCCATATTTACTTTTTGGAAAAGCGTGGCAGTGAACAGCTTTCTTTGTAGAAATTAATCATAACTTCTGTGTGGTATTAGGTTGGGGGCACAGGAGAGTTAAAACGATAATATGCGTTGCGACGAACGTCGATTTCAACGATCGTTACGGCAAATCGATGTTCGTGTCACCTGCTGCAATTTTTCGGTATACAATGGAAAAACGTGCGTTGACGTATCCCGAACGTGCATTCTGGCATAAATATGTCAATAAAAAATCAATGCACATTACAACGAACGTTGAAAGTGACGCACGTTCGTAGTATGTAATTTCTAATATACAACAAATGTATTTCTACATGGGGACATTGTAACGTCCGTCACAACGCACGTCGTTTTAACGTTCCTGTGCCCCCAGCCTAAAGGTGTATATAATTTAATAATACATTTTTGGATATTTCACTTTTATTTCGAAATACGAAGGGTGTGTACTCTTGAGTTTTTCAATCATAGTACGTGTAAAAATATATCATTCAACCAATGCGATTTGGAAAGTGTTGAATATAATCCTTAATCACTGTTCTTAACCTGTTCCCTACCAAGCTGCTTTTGATTAATATGTGTCATTCGTATTCCATGTGTACCGAAAATGGTATATGCTATAAGGTTTAATAAATCTGCAAAATTTACCTATTTTTTTCTGTTTGTGTATTGAAAATTTATTTGTTACCATAACAAAAATTGAGAAACAATTTTTAGTTTTATGCCTTGTAAATTTCATGCGTGGTATGTTTTCAGTAACAAAAATAAAATTGTTATTTATGATTTTTATGTTTATTATTATGACGTGTATAATTTATTGTAAATTTTATCAAGTTATTATAGGTGTTTAATTATTCGCTATTTCAGTGTCGAATTAGGTGTGTAACATATTTTGTGGTATTGCAATGTTTGGCCGCTAGATGGCTATAGATACTTACAGTTTCTCGCAATCAAATCAGGTTTTCTTCCATATACATTCAAAAACTATTGCGGAAACAATATGCAATACTCAGCAAGAAAAATATATCCATATTTAATAATTTTTGTTTGTTTGTTGTCATAACAGGCGCCATTAAATACAGCTAAAATAAAATTAACGTATTTAAATATATAATAGCAATGCTACATTTGCGTAATTATAGTGAACATCGATATGTAGATATATCTAGTAAAATTCTAAAATATATAACTACCAATAACCATTGACTACTTATGTATAAACAATTAAACTGTGCGTCTTTATGAAATAAACATTCAGTTAGCAAGCTTTCTGCAATAGAAGGAAATAAAACAAAATGTTAACTTATCAAAACGCACTCCACAAATTGAATAGCAGTATACACAGTTATAATTACTGAATCATTAAAACATGATATAGATAATTAACCAAGTGGACGACTTGAAATACTTTTAAAATAACCAATTTTAGATTCTCAAAAAGAAGTTTATCCGATTCAAAAAATAATATTAAATCTGGTTTAACTGTCGAAAACAAATATGAAAAGTAATCAGTTTTTGATTAAGAGCAACGTCATTTCATTTGATAAAGTGAAGTTTAATAGAATTTTATCGATCAGGCATTTTTAGCATTGGATTCATAAAGCGGCAAATCTCTTCGATAAAGACGCATCAAACGAGCAGTGTAGCATACATAAAATTCTTTTATTATAGATGTTTATGGCAAAATGTGTTGTTGAACTATTTCACCAAATAAAAGAATTTAAGAAGTGATGCTTGAATAAGTACGCAAAATTTATGAAGATAATCGTCAGATGATTTCTCACGTGGTGTTTCAAAATCGGATAATTCATTCGTTGCTTCAGCTCAAGATAATGTCTCAGATCCTCATTATTAGAGACTATAGAGAGCCAAATAGCGAATAATCAATCATAATAGATTCGCTGTACAAACATGAGTTAGAAAAGATGAAATGAGGAATTATAAGTCATAAAGCGAACAAAAATTATCAACGCAGTTTCTAATATTGAAGAAACGAAACCTTGAATTTAACAAATTATCTAAGGAAGGTAGAGAAAATGAAAATGAAATGCCATATTTGCTGTGTAAGAAGGTTTATTTGAATATCGGTAAGTTTGATGATTGAATGGAATGCCTTGAATGCGGGAGATGAAATCACAAGGAGTGTACTGTATGAGCTGAAGACGATTTAGAACAATGTGTGAGTGTTCCTTGTTTTAGACAAAAATAACAATACTTAGTTTTATTCTCGTTAATATCTGATTTTATTCTATAGGTTGAAAGGGAATCGTATATTTCCGATCTTATACATTTTGAACATTTGTAAGCATTTCTAGATTAGTACACTAGTGATTGCATAGATGGCATTTGCAACAGTCGGGTTTCTCGAAAGAAAAACTGTACGTTTGCTACATCATATACAATAACTGAATTTGTATTAGCATGCAATACTCAGTGTGATTGTCATATCCACTATATTAATTTTTGGAGGGGGAGACTCAAACACCGTCCTTAATCAAATTTGAAAAAATACAGCATATCCGGGTTAATTAAGAGCTAGTGAATGAGGTTATTGCTAGTTCTTATAAAACTTTAGTCTTGGGAATAATGTTTTTTATACTCAAACTAATGTTAACCTTCTTATACTGGGCACCAAGAATTTGCAAATTCGATAAATTTTAGAAAATGGGAGTTCTGGTAATAATAAAACTGGAACAATAATAAAATTCATGAATGAAGCTTTGATTATAATTACCATTGTTGCTACGTTACACATTTATGGTTTGGATATAAGATATTTATACAATTTTGAGTAATATATTTAATACAGATCCAAATACAACAATTGAAAATATTAGTTCAAATTCAAAGAATGTATTATTTTCAATCATTGTTATATGTTCAGTTGCCATTTATGAGTGATTTTAAGAGATTAAGTAAGATATAAGTAGAAATATGTTTTTAAAAATAGAAATAAAATTTAGATGTCAAATATTAATCATCTTTTATTCGATGATTATTAAATAATCAAAATTGTTGTCATATTGTCGTTCCATATTTTTTTTTCTGTGTAGACTGTTAAAAAAAAGAAATCAGAAGAGAGTTGGTTTCCACGTACCCCCTGCTTTTAACCCCCAGAGATTGCTGGCACCTGGACCAAAAACCGTTCACCCTTCCAACTTTTTAGTTCCCCCTTTCCTCTGTTCAAAGGTCCTGGTTCGTAACTTTACCCTCCGCGTCGCTCGAAGGGTTGTTTTAAATAATAATAACACAACCCCGATCAGAAGAAGGAACGCTATGTGTGTCAGAGTTCAGTACGTTACTGGTATAAGACTCGTGCTGTTCTCTAGAACGTTGTCGAGGTGATATCGTAGAAACAACGTTAAAACTAATTTTTTAAGTTTCAAGATATGTGAATATTTAATTTATACAAAACATTCGTATAAAAATCCTCACAATTTTGTTTAATCTTCCAGTGATACGTGTTTTAATAAGGTGCTGTGTGCAAAATATTACGATCTTTTGAAAGGAAGCATGTGTAACTTTAACTGTACAATTATAAAATATTCCACATGTGTCTTATGTGTAAGTAAATTTGTATACATTAAACAGAATTTAAATGAATCGCAAACATGCTTCTGATATTAAGTTTTTATAATAATTGTGAGAAGGTATTGAACATATAAAAAGAAAGTTAGTTATGAAAATGAAAATCAATCACTACTTGTATACATAACAGGGCAATTCAATTGCCTTCATACTTTCCGTATTTTCAACAATATAAAAATTGCTTACACAAAACTTTTCCATAATTAGATAATTATGTTGTAGACAGGGAAATATTATTTATATTCAGAAATTATAAAATTATACATTTTTATCGTTACGAGTATGAAATATAAATAAGATGAGCAAAGTTCCTTTTCTACAGTTTATAAACTAATTCTGATAATATACGTATATTTAAAGTAGGTTACTTGTAAGAAGTATATAAAAAGGTGCAATTGTTTCTATCATAAATTCTTATGGCTTATTTATTTATAATATAGCCAATATAAATGCTTATTTATAATACAAAAATTGTACGTCTTCGAATGACTTGGCTCAATCATTAGAGCCAATGCTTGGCACACGTGATGATAGGAACAAAATCCAGCGTGTTAAGGTTTAAAAAAAGCAGTGGGTTACCCATATAACGCTACAGAAAAGGGGGTTAGTTAGATTTTTAGGGGTTACATTTTATCCCTAACCGTGGCATCCCTTCTATTCAACGTAGTCCTTCTTCAAAAATGTGCCAGAGTGAGTTTACGAAAAAAGAAACTCATCGATGTTCTAAAATTTTTTACAGTAATTTTACATTCGATATTCTTATGTTGCTAAAAAAATTACATTTTTCATAAATATAGCAAAAATACAATTTACGGATAAAGATGAATTTAAAATACATATTTCTTTCCTTTATTAATTTTAATATGACAGAATTACATATACAAGTAAAAATAAAAATATTGATAGAAGAATAATAAAAGGTTTGAAGGGTTAATAATGTTACAAAGTACATTATATAGTATGTTATACATAAATAATGTAAAAGCAGAAAATAATTCTCGTTGTTTAGATGGCTGTGAAATTAATTATTTGAATACTGTTAATTATTTTGAATGTGAGTATCATCCCTTAAAGGGACTATCGTTTCCTATATCGGTCCAATATGGTGACTGTCCACTATTGTTATGCGCCATTTTCTTACTCTAACAGTCATCGAAAAACCTGACAGAAGGTCGGAAGTAGCCAGGGGTTGCTTGGACAATATACTGATCTCTGGAAACGGATTCGAGGGGGTGCGCGCAAGGATCGCCTTTTACCCTCCTAGTCCGACAGCCCATTGGTCAGATCAGACTCTGTCCCTGGACAGGACTATCGATTATTTGCTGTCGATTTCCAAAGGCTACCTGCAGGATAATTTTAACAATGTGGCAGGAGGTGTGGTCTGGCCTGCAAATGAGCAACACCTACCAGTTCTTTTAAAAATATCTATCTAAATTATCTGATTAACAAAATTGTTCTGAACTATCAAGATAGTTATTTTTAAGTATTTTAAACTTGTCTTTATCCCAAGATAGGTCTCTGTGTCAATTATTATGAAAACTTTTTAATATGCATTTAAACAGATTACATTTATTACAAAAAAAATTTATATTTTTTTAAAAATATTCTAAATCTACTTTTACTATTTATCGTTCCCTCCTCGATACGTGACGTATATTTTACAAAATATTAAGATTTAAAGTGTGACCATTTATGCAAAGGAACTTAATATTAGATTTTATTTTTTAATATTTTTTCCACTAATTTTAATGGAAACGAGATTGCTTTACTAACCTACTTT